CTGACCGAATTACCTATAGACTTGTTAAAGAATTAAATTCAAGTAAAGTACTCCACTTTTTTGCTTTGTTACTGTATAAATGAAGAAATAAATATAGAATAGAGGTACTTTGTATTAGACAATCACTTTTTTTTGTTTTCGTTCCACTGAGTGGCTATGGCGGGGTGATATTAGACGCAAAAGGGAAGTGGACTACAGGTCCACAATTATTTCGATTGGGTGCATTTTACACAATTTCTTTTTTTTCAGTATTCGTGTATGGGATTTTTCGTTTGAGTCGACACCGTGAGATTTCGTAAACGATGCAAAGGATTTGAAAAATAAACTGTTTTGTTAGTTATTTCTTCCTCATTTTTTCTTCCTCTAAATTAATTAATCATCGATTCTACATAAAGAAAACGACGACATATTGTAGTAAAATAGTTCTTAGTTTAACCGTGGTTTTTGTAAAAGGAATGGGGGTATTTTTTATTATTTTTAACAATGTGTACGGCTGCGGGTCGTCAATCATCCATTTTAAAGCCTCTTGAATGTGCTTTTAGGAGCACTTTGTGTTGTATATAATTTATTTGTCCTTTTTCGGCTTTAATGGAAGTCATATTTCATTTTAAATATGCATGAAGGCTAATACAATTTATATTAGGGTTTAAAAACCGAATTAATAATGAAACTATACTACATATTGCTTTTAATAAGTTTCATTACCTACCTACCACAGAGGACATAAATATATATATTTTTAATATTGGTTTTACGGCGTTGGAATAAATCCATCAAGCCAAATCTTCAAACAATTTTTTCACATTTTTTTAAGTACTGCGTTTAAGTGGCTTTCTACTTTGAATATACTTCAGTTATTTGTACTTAGTTCTTAAAAGGTTACAAGTCGACAGTACAATTCACAAAAGAAATATAACTAAATAGCTCTGTAAGACGAAAGACAGCCTGTGGCATTGGTTTTTCCTGCTCAATATTTTAAATCATTATTTCTATCATGTCTCAAACTTTCAACAGATAATTAGTAGAAACAATGTTTAAATAACAAAACTGGCAAACATTTCAATGATAATTAATAAAAAACACTAGTAATAACGGCAACACTGAGTCGGAATGACATCATGCAGTCTTTCGCCTAATGCGTCCTTTTTAATTTAATTACACCATCAGGGGCAGTCAGCCTGATGAAGAAATATTAAATTCATTTAATTTCATAATTTTATTCGTTTTGAGACCTGTCTCCGTGTTTCAATTTCTGAAATCACTTGATAAATTTGAACATGTATAAGAGTCAATATTTTACGTTCAACGTAAGGTTAACTTTCACGATAGATAGTTAGCAGGTAGCTATTTTTGTTTCACCGATAAGTTTCCAATGACATAAGAAATGTAATGTCCAATCAATCGTGGTATCCACGTAATGGACATTGGTAATCCACTTGTGATTGATTCGTTTATACAGTCCACTTTCCCGAGTTACGTGATTTCTTACCGGTAATAGTGTAATTACATAAAAGTATCTAATCCCAAAATGGGAATTTCTGGAGTGCAAGTCAGCTCTCCTTGTCATAAGCAACGTATTTGCATATTGGTAACTTTCGAGAATTACGCTGCTTTTGCTCAACAATAAATCTGAAACTAAATAAGAAATAAAAACAATTAGACGGGGCTTTAGATCCCGTTTTGCTTTTAGCGGATATCGTCGACGTTTTGTAGAAAAGGCGAAAGTGCTATTTCGAAAAGTTTTTCCGGGAAGCATGTTTTACTTTTTTACGACTGTTTTAAAATATTTACGTCTTGTTTCAATTCAATTTTAAAACTTAATTAAAACCAAAATGAATGTTAACATGAGACGTAAATATTTTAACACAGTCGTTAAAACTTAAAATATGCTCCCCGGAATGTTTTTCGAGATGGCGCTTTCACTCTTTTTACAAAACACATGTTTATTATGATATGTTAATAGCTCAATATCGCTGAAAAATCTCGATTACATTCGATAAAATAATAATAACGCACACACTCAACATAGCCCCGCACTAGGGAAGCCCTGTGTCGCAGGTCCCATGGACACACACATAGGCAATCACAAATTACACCCAAACTCACGAGAGAAATAAATGTAGGCCATACAAATATTTCTCCCGACCCGGGAATCGAACCTGGGACCTCCGCGTGGCAGTCCGGCATGGTAACCGTTAAAGGCAGTTAAATAAAAAACATACCCTAGTTTATTTAACTCATAGAACCAATTTGGGCACAGTTTTCCTGTAAGGAGATATCGTAGGTCATACTCTACCACGCAAGCTCAATGCGTGTTAAGGACGTTACATAAAATTCGGTCACCTTCTCCGATGTGTTGTATTGTATTCATCGCGTTGTTTTCCTGTATCGTTAAGAAGCCTGTCATATAACATGCATGTATAAATTTAATGCACATGATTTGAAAAAAAAAAAAACTGGAACTTCTAGACTTCGAAAACAGAACTGGGACCTCGTATTCTCTCTCCTCTATTCTTTTTATTTTCTATTAAAAAAGCAAGAAATACTCAAATCTTATTACTAAGATATTCTGTGTCGGGAAGACAAGTGTTACTTCAATGTTCGAGCTTTGTATCAATAATAAAAATGAAGTAGTGTAGTTTTCACAAAAAATAGTTTTTTTATAACATCATGTGACGGGATGAACAAGTCGTGCGCCTGATGGTAAGCTACATGCTTGTCCATAACAGTTACAGTGCCATTTAGAGCTTTAAATTGCAAAGATCTGAGGGGCACTACCACTGCGCCCGTCACCCTGAGACATAAGTTGACAAGTCCCATGTGCCTGTAATTTCACCAGCACCCTTACCTTTCAAATCCGGAACACAGTAATGCTGACATTACTGCTTGGCGGCAGAAATAGGTAAGGTGGCAGTACTACCCTGGACGAATTCTAACACAAGGAGCTCTGCTGCTAATAAATTAATATCATGGTAGTAACAACATGATATTCAATCAATATAAAAAGTGTTATTTTACTTATTAGATTGTTTAGAAAAAGAGTACAAAAAGAAAATAGACATAGGTCCATGAGGGCGACAGGTGAAACTACTAGCGAACGAGTTATCACCTTGTAGAAGTCTCCGGTGACAAGCCTGGCAGTTATTTCCGCCAAAGAATAACTTTAGCTATTAAAAAGTTGCCGGCTTTCTGGGCACGATGTCCCAAAGTACGGCTCTCGGGGAATTTTTCTAATCATAAATTTCCTAATATTTAAATTCTTACAAGTTTTGTCTAGCATTGTATTTTTTGTTAAGTGTTATATTACCCACTACGAAATAAAAAGACTTTCAATAGGTTTAGAAAAGAAAAAAAGGAAAATATAATTTAACAAAATATTGTCAATTAGATACAACATAAAAAAAGTCAAAGCCAAATTGATGTCATTTCACCCGAAGTAAACAATGCGTAACAATTGGATCTCTGTACCGACACCACAATAAAAGTGAAACTGAATAATCGATCACGTTTTGCTTTCTATTTATTTTGTACAAAAAGACGACAAAATTCTTTAAATTGATATTTTCTTTATTGTTTTATATATTTGCGATGCTTGATTTTTGAACTTTTTATACCTAATAAATTCATTAATATTGTTATCTAAATATCATAAAGTACAAATTCTTTACTCACTCACCGTTTTCAACAATTTGGTAGGCCTAACAGCTTATAAAATATAGAGTAAAAGTACAAGTAAATATAAGCCCAATTAAAAATTAAAATCTTTTCGAGTGCTTAGGTTTTCGCGATTATTACATATAGGAAATGAACCTACTAATTTTCCGGATCTAAATAGCGTAAGTATATTTGTTTTTTCAAACCAACCAATGTTTCGGACCCTTTACAGGTCCCGTGGTCATGCCGTCAGCCGATCAGCCGTGACAATGTGAAGGCCCGAAATTTCAAGTAATTTTATAGGAGCGTGAAAAACGTGCATATAATATTATTGTATAAAAGTTTTTTTCATATTGTTAGTAATTGTAATAATGTTCATTTTAACCTATTACTAGTAATTGGTTTTTTTTAATAAAAACCTTATATACAATAACGTAAGCAGGTTAGAAAGAAAAGAAAGAATACTTTCATTACATATAAAATTGTTTCTTAAAATTGAGTAAGAAAAGGCATAATGACTGTGTTTAAAGCAATACTAAAATTCTCTACTTCTGGCTCGATGTATTTTTAATGTTTTTTTCCTGCGATCATTTATTATGTAAAATATCGTGTAATTTACAAAACAATCCGTAAAAACTATAAAAAAGGTAAATAAAAAATTAAACTGAACATTAAAGAGATCGCTATAACAAGATAACTAGATACCTTAAAGAGTATATTAAAAAAACTTGCCTACTTTTCCCACCATAAGTGTATCATTTGATATATCTAGCATATGATCTAGTTAGATCAAGTTTCATTACTGCGCGGGCGCCGCACCACTAACCGCTAACGGTTTAAAATCATATCAACCATATCCTGGTTGTTTTTGCTCACTGCACAGATTGTATTAGCATAAATTACTGATTTGTGGAAAGATACAATTAAATTGAGCGAGATGTTCTCAGTAATCTCTTAATTGGTTTAATTGTCTTAATTTAAACAAGAGAGAGAGATGCTGTGATAGAGAATTTTCTATAACTTATTTTTTTTAATTCAACAAGTGTGGACAACTTAATCACATTTCTAATTATTATTTGTGTTCTTCTGAATAGAAGCTTTATTTCATATAAGCAGAACTCACGAATTTGATTTAAAAAAGTTATTAATAATAATGTCCGTATTAATTTGCATAATTTAGGATATTTTTTTATCTTTGAAAACTTTCCACCTCGCTATCAAAGTCGCTCAATGACATCCCTACAAAAAATTAACAATAAATAAATTAAAATCAATATTTTGATTTGCACCACTCACCGTTCATTTTCACACCGCAAAAAGTCCAAGCAAACATTTCACACAAATGAAAATCAGACACTATTCATCACAAACACTAAAGTACCTTACACAAAGTCAATAAAATGTTACTTAGGATTAAAACAAAACACTGTCGGCATAGGAGCGTGCGAGAGCGGTTGAAAGTGGCGTCTGACGACTCGGTCTGTTGGCTCCCACCAGCGAGCTGATGGGGAGAAATGGCTACCGAGCTAATTGCTGCGTCAAGTGTGATGTCATGGCGTTTGGGACAGGACCGATAGTGGAAGTTGTAATTGTGACGTCATTCTTTGGCTCTATAATGATGTATGTAAGCGAGATTTTTCAGGATATAAATAAAATATTTTTTTTAAATTAACTTTTTATTGAAAATTGGCTGCAGAGCCATCACCTTAAAAAGTAACAAATAAATAAGAAACTCGAAAATAATGTGGTAAGAATTAATTTTTGTGAAAATTTTACTACAAAAACCCGCTATTTTTTGAGGAAAGTTTGGGTATTGGTCAGGCGCTATTTAATTTCGTCATTTTGTAAGCAAAGCAGTTTAATAAATACCGTAAAACAAAATTTTCAAACAACCTTTATGTAATTATTAGGTATTCTTACTCGTAGTATTCATTATTATACATTAAATTGAAAATTTGTGCTTTACGTACGTACGTTAGGAATCTATTTTAGAAAACCTTATACTATTAAAAAACTTAAAGAAACGGTGCTTCCAAAATCGAAACTTTTTATAAATAATAATGTATTATCGTGTCATTTGTAAATATAATTTGTCATCAATTCTCTGGATATTTTATTTTACTATAATTTCTTGACAGTAAAAATGTTTACGATCACAGCTTCTTTGTTTACATTTTTTCTAAGCTTAAAAAAACGAACTTAACATCGTGGTTAGCAAAAATACGTAAATAGCTTATAGAAAAAAACAACTGTAATTACACTTGTCCTTCTTATAGATGATACCTTAGCAGTGCATATGAATAGAAGAACTAAAAGACAATGTTTTCATTTCAATAAAAAATCAGTGCAAATCATTACAACCAAGAAAGCGTAGTACTAGCGTTCTGTACAGACATACCGTCACGTCGCCGAAAGCGACTCTATTAATATTTCATAACTAAGTCGCGATAATAAATGGGATAAGTTATGGAATGTTTAATGGCTCATAAGTCACTATAACGTTTGAAGACAACAATTATTACGTAATATATATATGACAACAAGTTTCCATAAATGCCGGAAGGTATTAAAACCTGTCGTTAATCTGTAGAATAATCTACTTTGAACTCTTAAAATTTTTTTAGTAACGTAGTCTTTTTAGATTTTTTACCATTGTAATCTTCATCATCAACCGATTATACATCCCACTGCTGGCACGGGTCTCCTGTCAAGAGAGGAGCTCGTCGATATCGATACACAAAATAACTTATCGATGGTTTTCTAGAGTAACGGCTGATCTCAAAAGCATCTAATTCATCAGGAAGAGGATTTTTAAAAATCTGAGACGTGTTGGCCGCGCAAATTTGACAAAAATGTAGACCATCCTATTATTACTATGTTGATAGTGATTATTTTTATCAATATTTTTACTGTCCCGTTCAAAATAAATAAGCATTTTCCGAATAAATTTCAGTATGAGGCAAAAAAGGAACTACTTTGTATTGGACCACTAATGGTGGTAATCTCAGTACAGAGTACTAAAAAAAACCGACCTCAAAAGTAAGTGGAATTACGTCTATTTGCTAAGTTTTATTGAAATATCTCCTTGTTCGCCAAAGTACGGGACTTGACACAGGAGATAATAAAAATCGGTTCGCACTACTCAAAGTATATTGAAAAACGCCTTGAATTGGAGAATAGCAAAACCAACCATTAAAATAATTGCTCTTTAAGTAAAATTTAGGCGCTATTAAAAAAATGAATGTTCATGGGTGATCAGCCACCCATGGATTAGAGGTGGATGATTTTCTTCAAAATGAAATGGGATCAAAAAAAAGAATCATGAAAGTCGGTTCACAAACACCGGAGCTATCGCGTAACATACATACAAAAAAAACATACAGTCGAATTGAGAACCTCCTCCTTTTTTTGAAATTGGTTAAAAACAGAAACATAATCACTATTTAAATATACGAGTTTGAGAAAGTAAGGCATCGCACTTACATAATAAAAATTAAAAATATTGCAAACGAAAATGCATTTTTTTAACTCTGGTTCTTGTGAAATTTATTGGTTTTTCTGACCCCTAATGAAAAAGTTTGCCCACTTCTGGTTTAGACATATTTTTTATAGCTAGAGCTCTCTTTTACCGTTGGCGAGAGGTAATGTTGCTATACCTAATTAAACATATTAATTGGTATTGCTAATTATACGTAAATTAGAAATCAATCAATTGAAAAATTAGCTCTCTTCCACGGGACTAAGTACCACTGCTTGTTATGATTTTAATATGTACGGGTGTAAAGAAAAATAAGATAAAACAGAAAAATATTTTAGAAAATAAGCTGCAGTAGAACTCCTTGTGAAAGAGTTCGTCCAGGGAAGTATTGCCACCATACACACCTTGGAATATGAGCATACTGCGTTCGGCGTTTCAACGTTAAGGGTGCTTGTGAAATTACAAGCACATGGGACTTGTCAACTTTACGTCTCTGGTTGACGGGCGCAGCGGCAGTTTAAGTAGTAAGATTTTCTTTTGAGAATTCTTTGTTATTTAAAGATCTAAGTGGCACGGCAACTGTTATGGGTAGGCGTGTCGGTTACCACCAGGCACACACAACCTGTTAGTTTTTTTATTAATAATTTACTGAATTACGTGTATTGGTTAATTAGTTCTATTCGTTTTTTTAGTGATAGTTTCAATATTCTGTGCACGAAGAGTAGGTAATTATGTGTGTGTCTTTATTCATACAATATTTTGATTCGAGTTTTTTAGGTTTGTTAACATTGGAACGTGAAACATATTTTTTTTCGGGTATAAATTGTGAACCGTAAAGAACACGATACTATGGATTGTTTAAAAAAAAAGCAAATAACAAAATAATAAAACGCAAAGGAAATGAAACTATTTTTCCGGATTTAAATCGCGTATATTTGTTTTTTCAAACAAATGTAAATGTAAACAAATGTAAAGGGCCCGAAACATCGGTTTGTTTGAAAAAACAAATATACGCGGTTTAAATCCGGAAAATTAGTTTCATTTCCTATGTGCAATAATCGCGAAAACCTAAGAACTCGATAATAAAACGCAATTTAGACGTGAAAAAAAAATGGTTCCATTTTTAATATTTTCGTTCTTTTGTTCCAACCACATAATGTAAAGTAATGGATTTAATGACTTCAAGGACCTATTACCACCATCTACTTCAACGAGTATTTTCAAAATAGATCAAATCTAATTAAAATCGATTTCAAATGCAATTAACTATATAATGTACTGTAATAAATGAGAATTCCATTAATCCCGTTACGCTTATATGCTATGTACTTAATTTTTGTCTGTTTAATTATTGTATGCTTTCTCCTCTATTCTTTGCATATAATAAGTATATTTATGACAACGATACAATCACACCTGTCAGCTAGGTCAAAGTACAAAGTTCCCTGTCCTATGAGTACCAGAAAATAATTCCGTGCTCCACAAAGAACACCTACACCAGAACCAATTCTGAAAAGTATGTTTCCCACATTGGTCCTACCTAGAATCCCACCCAGCACCTTTTGATGTAGCGCCAACGCGCTACCGAGGTCATTAGTATTGGGAATCAAATTGCATGTAATTAAAAAGTCCCTGCCGTTTCCATATAATTAACTACAACAAAATGCCATTTAAATCGATTCTCGCATTCAAATGTCTTATGATTCGATCAGCGCGCATTGATAAATGAATTAATATCTATTGTTTACTTTCCACGCTCATTTCTATTCATTGCGAGGTCCCCATGCGCATATGGGCTCGCACTGCAATAATTTCTCTTGTCCTTTGGAAAGTATGAAAGTAGTTCCGGAATATTTTGGGTAATCGATAAACTAGAAAGTGTTAGGTATCCTTAAATTGCTTTTTGTAATGTAGCTCTAATTATTTACGTAGTTGTTTCACTTGCTTTTAAAAAAATCTTACCATGTATGCATTTATTAAAATGAAATGTTAGTAGTTTTCTCTGCTTACGAAGGACGTGTTAGTATTAGTAGACCTCCTTTTGAAAGAGTTTCCAGGGAAGAAAGTACTGCCACTTTACCTATTCCTGCCGCCAAGCAGTAATTTGAGCATTACTGCGTGTCGGTTTTAAAGGGTAAGTGTGCTGGCACGTGGGACTTTTCATCTTATATCTGTGCGATTTAAAGCTTTTAGTGGCACTGCAACTGTTATGGATAGCCGTGACGAGTTGCTCGTCCCGTCACTCGGTATCATAAAAAAGTTAAATAAATGAACAAAAATCATTACGGGAAGTCTGCGATGGAATAGCACTATTTAATTCCTACCTTTCCATCATCGGGAGACTAGACGTAGGCTATGGTTCAACCCCTATGTTGTGGATATTCCAAGGATTCACACGAAGCGTTACGCTTCCACATTTATATGGCGAACGGCTATGGAGTGGAATTCTTTGCTTGCAAATTTATTCCCTGAATTACTATAGTTTGCCACACGCAAAATAGGCGCCTTGTCGTCGAGTTGCGGACACCAGCCCGTTACACCAAGTACCAAGTACTATAGTTTGGGCCTTTTTAAGGCGCGAATGAATCGGCATTATTTAGATGTGCTTGCTCCATCGTCGATCTCTTCGCTACTGTCCATCAGGTGAGACAGAGGTCAAATGAGCACTCATTTAAAAAAAATACTGCTACTTCTGCTACTTCACTGGCAGTTAGCAAACTCGTCCAGGCAACTTTGCTATTGTTCTAAACTAGTTTTTATTTTAAACGTTTGGATACGTACGTTATAATAGACTTAAAAATCTATCATTTGTATCTGGGTTTTTATACCTTATACTTAAGAAAATACTTCTGTCAAACTATGATCCAATTTTTTCATTCAAAATAAAAGCAAAAGAATTCTCACAGATGGCGCTACGGCAAAAAAGTCGGTAAAAACCAAAACCAAAGATTCGACAACAAGCACATATAACAATTCGTGAGGTCCGCTGGTTCGTTCCGTGGCTTAGTTGGCATAGCGTCTGGCACGGTTTGCTAGGAACCGTCGGCGTCGATTCGAATAAGGCCGTATCGAAGGAACTTGTTTTAAGTGTTCGATCTTTGTATGAATAATTATAACAAACTAGTGGAGTAATTTCACAAAAAACAATTGAATATCATGGTGGTGATACATACCTGACATCCAATAAAATACTTAAACGCATAAACTTACCTCATGTCAAACGACGATGTAACCGATGATGTTATAAAATTGCCTCTGTCTGAGAGTCGTATTCCAGAACTGTATTCAATGCTCAAGTCAGGATTTGAGCAGACTTGAGTATGATTTCAAGCACTGGAAATACGACCCTAATGGCAAAGCCTTGAGTATGATTTTCAGTGCTCACTGCAATACTCAAGTCCTGACTTGAGTGTTTAGTAGAGTTCTGGAATACGACCCTGAAAATGCCTATTCATTTTAGTCTTGAATAGCCCCAAATCAGAGTTTTTGGGAAACAGATTAATATTAATATATTGTAGTGTATTCCATACATTTGCCGTAAATAAATCTATATTTAATACAAAAATGGACACTAATGATTATGTACATATTAGTGTAAATAAAATGAGCTTTTCATCTTAGATGATTTATTTCAATAAATGCGCTGTTATATAATACTCTCGGAAGAATTTTTTTACGTAATCACAACTGACTAATATTTTGATGTAAATGATACTGTAATTTATATTTGTCAAGGCAAATTATTGACAAATGAGTCAAAAATATCATTTACAACAACCAAAACTTTCTGTTTTGCTTCTTTAATGTCATCGTCTTCAATTAAAAGGTTCTTTTTCAATAAAATTGCAGTCTTTGTAATTATACTTTGTCTCGAAATTTGAATTCTGTTCTCTTCTTGACTCTTCGTGATTGTGATTTTGAGTAAAGTGAGCCAGTTGTGAGTGAATGTTAAGAATTCTTTGCTAAGTTTTTTTGTCAGTTGGAATTGTATGAGAATGTGTGTCCACGGTTGTGATGTTAGTATAGCGACTAATTTTGGATCGTTTTTTGTTATGATTGCGTGATTAAACACTGAGCTTAAAGTTTTCCAGCCTGCGAGTTGTTGATCTTTAGATTCCTGGAAGAAATGTGTACATAGACATTCGTTGCTACTTATAATGCAGAATTATAGAAACGCATTTTAACCACAAATACTGTAAAATTAAAGTAATATAAATTAAATAGTTTATTGCAAATGTCTACAAAAACAATAATGCGTACACGCATGATTTAGGATGATATATCCTGCATGATTTAGGGACAATGTTGATTCCAAATTGTAACGGTTCCATAAATTCGAAAAAAGAAATGTCCGTTGGTGTAGTTTGAATATTTTAGTAATTTGACAGAATAGTTAACTATGTATAATTAACTCTCTTTTTAACTAGTTTGTAGTGTTTAATAGTTGATTATAGCTGTGCTAAGTAATTGATTGAAAACAACGCAAGCGCGCGTTGTTGGTAAAACTTTCGCTTTCTCGACATTTCTTTTATAAAATCTCACAGGATACTCTTAATTACAATGAATGAAGTGCTAGTATAATTATTACGACACGAGTGGTGTCCATAGCGTGCAACGGAAGACTGTGGTGACATTAATCTTAAAGATTGATAGAAATGGAAAATTGCAGAGAGCGTTGTACTCGAAAGCTAAAAACCTCAGACAAATCAGTTAATAGAGGCGATATACTGAAATTGACCGCAAATTCTAATAGATAAGTTTATATTTTAACCTTATGATAAATTGTCAACCAAGTGTAAAAAGAGCATAATAATGGACTAGACATTGAAAACAGCATATTTGAAAGAATATTCTGGAACCTATGCTTGAAATTTGGAAAATGGACTTGGCGTATCTCAACTAAAATATATGAAAATTGTATAGCAGTAATAATACAGTTGTGCCTGAACTTCTGTGCTAGTAAAATACTGTTACAGAAGCTAGCCTCTTTTTTTATGCATTTCATGACCTTGGACATCCGGACTCTCCCATTTCCATTGTGTTGCCAGTTATTAATAGACTGGAAATACGAGCCTAATGGCAAGGACCTGATTATGATTTCTAGTGCTTTAAATCATAATCAAGTCTTAACTTGAGCATTGAGTAGAGTTCTGGAAAACGACCCTTAGAACTGATTTTTAACTCCTTTTCCCAACATTTGTTGAACGTACTTAGTGTTAGTCAGAAACTACACAATAGACTTACCCTGCAACACAGCATGACCTGTATTCTAAACATGAGCGCTCTCATAGCGTTACATTGCTGCATCATAGAAACCTGGTCTCCAAAGTCGTAGGACAAAACCAGCGGTGTTCGTGTACCAGAATTTAGCACCATGTATATTAGTTGAAGTAGGGACGCGCCTCGTTCGTTTGAACTGTCTCGGCGGAGAGATTTTATTACCAAGTGCGTTTGAATTTGGAGAATCGCATTGGGCTGAAATATTATAGCTTTTTTATCTGTGTGTTTGAATTTGAAGAACCAATTTTGGCCGCATTATTACAGCCTTTTAAAATGTAAGTGCGAGAAGTATTATATATGATTGTAATGAACGCTGTAAAATCTTGCTATCGCTTTTTACTAGACATGGGCAGTGCTTCGAAAATTAATGCAATATCACATTACATTCACGTAAAAGTAACATTACAGAGTGACATCACACCATCATCTACATCACAGACTAAAAATTAGATGTGTTATATATATATATATATATATATATATATATATATATATATATATATATAAGTAACACTCCGTGCTTATTTCCCTCCTTAGGTTATATTACCATCACTCAATCATCACCTGTTTACGACCGATACGCGCATCGAGTATATAACCAGAAATAGAGACGAAATAAGGACCATCCATCCCTGGCAACTCGTCAGGTAAATTGGCCTTATATCACTTTTAAATATCAACTCTCGCTTGCACTGAAATCACAAATTAGAAAACTGAAATAATACAGCGCCAACAACTGACCTGTGTGTACGTATTCCAAAAATATTTTGTAATTATTATAATAAATATAATATCTTTAACTATGGGGGCTGTTCTATTAGGTGATGTGGGGAAAAATATAAAACATATTATTGCAAAACAAACGGAATCACATTTCATCGGTAATTAAATATGAAATATGTAATTTTGCAATTTTCGTCCATTATAGTAAAGCTCAAGTTAAACTGGTCGATTTGAAATAAAATAATTGACGACACCCATCAAATGTTTCGAATTCGGGCTAGCCAATCGGAACACGGTTGTCACAGTAATGATTTGGCAGAATAGTTTTTGAACAAATTAAAAGACATTTCGTCACTATTTTTGGTTATATACTCGATGGATACGCATATATGCGATGTAGCTGTTTACTATTAAAAGGATTTATGTAACCTTTATATTGGAACTGAAATAAATTATATCGCGAACAAATAAAAGCTGGTATTGTGTTGATGCTGTTATGAGTCATGTTTAATTTTTCAAAGTGATTTGTGATATTACATTACACTGTCGCCTGATATTTTGTAATTACTTACACGTCTAATTTCTACGGCTCTCTTTATATAAAAAGCTCGTAAATGCTAGATACTATTATAATTCTCAAATATGCATATCGAAATACCTGATATTCATTCTTGTTGAAGTAATGCACTACGTAAGATAGCAATTGCAATGCTGCACAGGCGACTCTATCGTCCGGACTATTAGTGGCCACGAGTACGCTCGCTAAGAAACCGGCTCGGTTTATGTACGTCATTAGCACTGGGAAGAGTTATTAATTGTTTTATATGTTTTGTATGGTTATATTGGTAATACTCTAACGGGTTTTAACTGCGTCTGTTGCCGAACGGCTATCATGCTAGACTATCACGCAGAGGTCTCAGGTTCGATTCCCGGGCCGGGAGAAATATGTGTATGGCTTATATTTAGTTCTCTCGTGAGTTTGGGTGTAATTTGTGGTTGTCTACGTGTGTGTCCATGGCACCCGCGATACAGGGTCTCCCTAGTGCGGGGCTTATTACGTTAAATTTATTTATAAGGTTATATTTTCGAAATTATTAAAATATTTGTAATATTTATTACGATACGAAGTATATTCATATAATATACGGAGTTTCGTATTTACGATAAGTTAATTTGTACAGGGATAGTCACAAGTATTTAGAAACTCGTAATACTTGTGGTAAATGTATTCGTGTTTAGATATTTGTAGGATAGCCCGCACTAGGGAAACCCTGTATCGCGAGTGCCATGGGCACACACATAGACAATCACAAATTACAACCAAACTCACGAGAGAAATAAATGTAGGCCATACAAATATTTCTTCCGGCACGGGAATCGAACCCGGGACCCCTTACGTGGCAGTCCAGAATGGTAACCATTCGGCCACATAGGCAGTAAAATTTTCGTACTAAATTTAGTATTTCTCATTACAATATTTATGAACTTCACCAAAATTATGGGTTAATTGTTCTTTATAAATTTAAAGGTTTGCATATAACATAAAAACAGCAATCTAATACACATGAGACTTATCTGTCCATCTGGTTTATTCAGTTTGTAAGCCACTGATGGAAAGTGAAGAAACAGTCTACTTTAAGACCACTATGTTGAATCCCTTTGTTTTAAAATTACGACTTTTTCGGCGACAATTATTTTGTGTAACATATAACTTTACGTCATTTAAAATACGGTTCGAGATTGCAGTTTAAGAAAGTGTCAGTTGGTGCCTCATCTACTCAAGGTTTCACACAAACAAATGGCTTCTTATTAACCAATGGCGTTTAAGGGCTACGTTATATTTTAAATATAAACAAAAGGTACTTACAAATAATTATGACTATTATGTTTTAAGAAAACTAGGCTCAAACTTTGCTTATCCCTTTTGGCTGTATTTTATTTTCGTTGGAATTACATCTGTGTGCCAACTTTTATTAAAATCGGTTAACGGAAAGTTTATGATATAAATGGGACCAGTACGGTGGGGCCCTCTTTCTAACAAAAAATAATCATCGAAATCCACAATATATATAATATTTCGCATAAAATATACCAAAAATACACGAAATGAGTACCTCCTCTTTTTTGAAATAAGATACAATCTTCACTTGCAAAAAAAACTTGTTTTGGTGCTTTTATGGCTTGAACATTGTTGCACACATACAAAATACTTCACGCCTTTGTCCCACAACAGCCTTCCACTTGCTAAGATCCTGACATTGATGTTTCGCCCCAACAACACGAAGCATTGCCTTTATACATGCTCGTCGGGTAAATGTACTCTAAAGCCGGGTACTTATTATCGAGCTGTAACCGTAACATGACAGGTACAGTAACGAGGTGCTAGTGTGTACGCATGAAACAGTCTTTACTCGCTAGAATGAGTACTTACTTGGTTATCGTCGGTTCATTGAGAACCGCACACGTTCCGCGCGCGGCTCGCTCGCAAACTAGGGATGCACATTAAGCCGGGTTCTCTTAGCGAGTTGTAACTATAACGTGACAGATACAGTAACGAGGTTACAGCGTGTACACTTGAAACAGTCTTCAATCAGACGGCTCACTGCGAACCACGTACACACTATGATTTTTGGTTACATAACATGCAACGGTTACAATTACAGCTCTCTAGTGATTACCCGGTTTACGATTCGATTTTTATGAAGATCGATTTGAGTGTATACGATCTAGAGATTTTTTGTATCGATTTATTTCAATGCGATTTTTTAAGTAACGCACACTTTAATAATAACGCACACTTTAAACATAGCCCCGCACTAGGGAAATCCTGTGTCGCGGGTGCCATGGACACACGCATAGACAACCACAAATTACACCCAAACTCACGAGAGAAATAAATGTAGGCCATACAAACATTTCTCCCGGCCCGAGAATCGAACCTGAAACCTCTGCGTGGCAGTCCGGCAGGGTAACCGTTCGGCCTCAGAGGCAGTTAAAGTAAAGCGATTCGACACTAAGGCGAATCGAATTGTCCAGTTTTTTTTATAATATCAAGTGACGCGACGATCTAGTCGTGCGCCTGATGGTAAGCTACACGCCTGCCCATAGCAGTCGCAGTGCCACACAGAGCTCGCAAAGATCTGAGGAACACTGCCACTGTGCCCGTCATCCTGAGACATAAGTTGATAAGTAAGATAACCCTTCAAAACCTGAACGCAGTAATGCTAACATACTGCTTGGCGGCAGAAATAGGTAAGGTGGCAGTACTACCCTGGACGAACTCTTTGACAATGAGCTAAATCTAAACTACTACTAAAACTGGTCGTATTCATAATTTGAACATAACAGTCTCTTTCTGAATCCCTATTAAATCGTAAGACTAATCCTATTTTATATCGATCTGCAAGAAAAGGAGTTTGATAACAAATAAGTACAATAAGTCTACAGTATTTGGCGATTGTCTCTACTTCTGTGCCATCGGAAAAACTTTTTTGCTGGCTAATATCACTCTAAATGAAAGTCGTAACCGATTGAAGCCAAAAAGTCTGTTAAAATTATTATTTCTTTAACAAAATTAATTTTGAAACAAAATTGATTTTTATAAGATCGATACAGGAGTATACGGTCTGATCTGTGGATCGATTCAGAGGCATATGTTCCATTACGATCCGGAAAACCGATTCAAATAAAAAATCGTGCATCCCTATCGTGAACCGACACTGATTTTTAGTAATACTTATAACATGCAACTGTGACGGTTACACCTCGCTAGTGAGTATCCGGCTTTTAGCTTTAGGACATACTTATTTCATCATGGTAAGTTTGCCTTGGTCGGGACTTACTGACTTACCGCTAGTAATATAGTAAAATACTAACCTCGATTATCATTTTGGTTGTTTGCTAATCCCAGTAAGCACAAACTTAGTTTTAGGCAAACAAATTCGTAATGATATTTTGTCTGTACTTCGCTGTGTTCGGAATTTTTAACGAATATTGTGGTTATGAGTACAGCGATTTTAAGACATGTATCTGGGTCTATTTCGGGGGGAAGCAGGGTTGTGGCTATGTCTAGGAGGTAGCAGATGTTTGTGTCTAGAAAATAAAGGTGTTTTTATTGACATTTGTGAGATTTGGTATTATGTTTTTGTCGTGCCAAAATGTCGTTTATATGACCGGACAGGAATATATGGGAAAAAATATTTTATATTTTATTAAGGCTATCTGCGCAAAAATGGTGTAATCCACATTTTTTTTTCTACAATATTACTCTTAATGGTCCTAAAGTATACATATAATTACTATATGTATTTTGAATGCTAATTTCATGTATGCAAAAAAATAATAATTGTGTATTGGTGATATAATAATATATGATTACTTTATATAAAATTAATTTGGCTAATTTTGAATTTCTCATTATCTTCTATATGCATTTAATGGAGTTACCTCACGGATAGCCTCAATAAATGTAATTTTTCTTTCGAAAAGTAAATTATAATCATGTATATTTCTTTGTTGGGTATCGATCTGGTCTGTATAGACATTTTTCACCTTCCTTATTTTTAGAAAAGTTTAAGTTTTGTTTTGTATTTTTTTAAACACGACAACTACAGAGTTAGTTAACAAAAAGTAATAAATTCCAAAAAATTCAAAACGGTGTCGGCATTGTGAAGGCGCGCAAGTTGTCTTACGATAGCCAGGTTGTTTCCACAAATTAAGGAAATAACTAAATGGTCTCAACTCAATATCATCAGTATACCGAAATATACCTACCAGCAATAAAGAGACTCAGACTAACGCCTTTATGGAGTCTGTGTTCGTGAACCCAGTGAAGGCGTTTGTGTTCATTTTTTTAATTTTATTTGAGGCAAAACACGTGTCTGTGTATGCAGTTACGCTTACGTTTTTTATTTTATGCGGAGACAGTGGGAAAAACAACTGCATGAAAAATATTTAACAAAAGCGCAGCTATTTTGCACGATTTAACCTTCATTGTGTTCGCGTAGTAGAAAGTAGAAAATTTACATAATTTTTTAAGACCTACCAATTTCAGAGTGATAATCAATCAACGTTTTAGACAATACTCCAGGCAAACTAGACCAAATTAACTTAGCAAACTCTTGCTTATCTTCATCGTCCCCATCCTCTATACAAACGTGGAGCGCCTCCATACAATTCGCTGTCACGTTTTCATTTTGTATTAGAATGTTTAACAATAGCTCCCAGACTATAGGTTCTGTAGTCAGCTCTTCAGGAAGGGAGTCCTCGACTTGAAGCCATTGTGATAACTATAATGTATGGACACAATAAATTGAGGTTATAACTAGTGTAACCCAAATTTTTTTTCTACAATATTCCTTTAAATGATACTAAAGATATAATTACTACTCTGCATGGCAGTCCAGTATGGTAACTGTTCGGCCACAGTTGCAGTTAAGTAGTAAAGATTCATATAATTCATTTAAGTCAATATTACAGTCTTATTATGTTTTCTCAACTTACAACATGAAGTCTCAGGAAATTCGGTATCCCCTGTGACGAAAAAACCCACAACAAAATGGCTGGATTATGAGTATAGTAGATTGAGGGATCGGGATGCAACATTGTCACTAGGCGGTGTGTAGCTTTTTCTAGGTATACTCTTTCGTCGAGCGATTTTAGAGTTCCGTTTGAAATTGTTGACATCTGCAATTTGGTGATTTTGGTGATCGAGTCTAGTCGTGTCTTTTTTGGAGACGGAGTAAAATGACATTTGCAAGGTTGCCCGTTATCGCGGCAGATGACGATTCAAATGAAACGTCAAAGTTCGACTACTTATTGCATAAGCGCGACCAATATTCAGTCGATAGTCGATAGAATATTTATCGACTGCAACCACTTCAAGCGGACAACACTTTCGTGAACTGTCATTTTACTCCATATTCAAAAAAGACGGACCATAAGTTCGGGGAGCTTCTATGACGAGTATAATAAATCATAATTATAACAAAACATCTAAATTGATGATATATAGTTCCGGACCTCATCCCATGTCAATAAAAAATATTATTCAACTTCCAGAATATTAGAAACAGATCTAAACATAAATAAATTCATAAATGTATTGAAAAACGACTAATTTATAAAATTACGGTGTAGGTATTTCCAGGATAAATTATAATTTAATCTCTGCCCCTCTCATCGCAACATGGAAAGCATTTGCGATGAAGCCTGTCAAGGTGTATGTGTTTGTTAGTGTGTAAGTATATCCATAAGTATATTTTGGTAACGACAACACATGCAAAGTATTGATAAATAAATAAATAAATGCTATATATATCCAGTGGCCAGAATGCAGGCAGCTATTTGAAGCTATCAGCGCAAAAGTGGTAAAACCCACATTTTCTTTCTACAATATTGATTTAAATAAAACATAGGACAGAAGAGGTTTATAGAGGTTTATAGAGGAAAATGTTTGGACATATGTAACGTGATGACGAATTTGTGAAAATGATAACTGAGAGAATGATAGAATGGAGAAAAAGAGAGGAACACCAAGAATAGCGTATACAGTGAACAAATAAAGAAGAATATCACTGTGAACAGCTATAAGGAGGTCAATGTCATATGATATGAATCGTGAAGAGTGGAGGAGGCTACATCGACTGGAGCTCGGATCTATAGGATGTTAATTACCAGTGATCAGAATTTACAGAGCTAATCTACCTACAGTATGAACGTTTTCTTAGTATGGACATTTCGTCATCAATGCGTATAAAATTTCTTTTTGTTTTACTGTATATTTTCTAAACAGTCGAAAATATAGGTTATCTATAATTTATTTTTTAAATAGCTAAAGTATTTAAATACGTAAGTACTTATAGAATTACAACCATAACAATATTATTTTTTGAGACAATATTTTGTAGCAAATACTTATTAGGAATTAATAATTTGTCGCCAATGTACTTAAATTTCAATAAATAATACGCATATCATTTCCGAAAAGTCCTGGTATTTGTATGAAGGAATGTCCTCGTTATTCTTTAGTTTAGCTAAATTAAGTCCCTCAATTCCGATCACTGATGATTACCTTAATGATACTAAAGTACATAATAATAAAGCGAGAGTCTAAAATAGATAAATAACAATAATAATAATTTCCGTAGCGTGTCGCTTGCAGCACAAACGCAGAAAGCTGTTCTAGAATCTGAGTACTTGACCCTGGCTGACTGTGCCATATTGCCGGGCAATACCGCCTCACCCATTTAAAAATTCAAAATATTTTAGGCCAAGGGAGAGGCGAGAGTCTAAAATAGATAAATAATAATAATAACGCACATACTCATAGCAGTACTAGGGACAATTTGTATTGCGTGTGCCATGGACACACACGTAGACAACCACAAATTACACCCAAACTCACGAGAGAAATAAATGTAGGCCATTCAAATATTTATCCCGGCCCGGGAATCGAACACGGGACCTCTTGCGTGGCAGACCATCATGGTAACCGTTCGGCCACGGAGGCAGACGGCATATTTATTATATATTTTTTACATGAAATTAGCTTCGAAATATACTCCCGGACACATAATTCCAGCCACCTCGCATTTTTATCGTAAAGGGCTAGTATACAAAAATAGTGTTATCATCGAAGAAAAAGTTTCCCCCGGTTTTGCAAATCCAAATTCCTAACAAGGACTTATGGAAGAGACGTTTAGTATACTATGTAGTTTCAAAATTGCGTAATAGTTTTTGATCAATTAATACTGAAAATGCGTGGTGGCTCGAATTATATGTTCGGAAGTGTATGTAATAATTATGTACTTTAGTATCATTTAAACTAATACTGTAGAAAAAAATTAATGTGGCTTACACCACTATTGCGCTGATAGCCTCATTTCGTCCTAAAATAAGCTTGGCTGTCTACGGGGGAAATTTTACCAGCCTTCTCAGCACGACGCCAGACAGCGTGGCGTAGAACAGATAAAAGTAGAAAATCCAGTCCACACTGTTTAAAGGATTTTTTCTTTGTATTGTTCGATCTTTGTATCTATAATAATAACAAAGTTGAAAATTTCAATTTTGTTTCATTTCTTCTATATTAAGTGTATTTTCTTTACTGTTTCCTATATTTGGGTAATTTTCAGGTTAGTTTTCTCTAACTAATTTGAAGTATTATTTAATATTCGAGTAAAGTTGCCAGCGATCATTGGTGTGTGTGAGTAGTGCTTACTTATGTTGTGATATTTCGTAACTGCGTGTAGCTAGATATTCAATATTTTGATAACTTGGAGAGTAATGACGTCACTATTAAGATTCTATATAGCCATGTAATGTTCCCTTACGTTCTTTGATGAAACAAAAGAAATTAAACGACGTAATAGTACTTTGTTCTACATCATGTACAAATGTTTAGAGCGGCATAGTACTTAACTCAAGCGAATGTGTTAATGCATTATATATCTTGTAAGATTTTTCGTGGAAAATTATGCATTGGAAAAATGTGCCAGCAATTACAATTTTTTTTTAACACCTATCGTGATACGAAACCTGTAACCTGTGATTGCCATTGTACTTTGCGCACATAGTAAAGGCATTCGTAGTTAAGGGAAAAGTACAGAAAATGATAGAACAGAGAGAGATAAAAAAGAGAGGAAAAAGCATGCGATTAAGAAAAAATTTAAAAGTATGGTAGTTACAGCAAAAACTAGCCAAAGGGCTTTGATGATATATGATGGAGGAGTAAAAGGTTTGGGAAGTCGCAAAATATGCTCCACTAAATGTGGAAGCAGAGGTGCTGTGGCTTCTTCAGGGCTGTAAGAAAACAAATGATAATTAGATAAAGATAAAATGTGACGTATTATCTGACAACAAAAATAAAGGTACTGTTCAGAAGACTGGCAGTTGAAATAAATGTAAATCAGTAGGCTGTAAGGTTGACTTTTCTGTAACTGCATCCCAATAGTTTGTGGTTTCTCTATTCCGTTTTGCAGTTCCACTAATCCCATCTGAAATTTGAAAAAGTAGCATATCGCATAGGAAACCACATACTGTCGTAACTCAAAATTGTGGAATGCAGAGGACACGATTTGAAAATTTAAAAAAAAAACTAAATTTTAACCAATATTATTATCGTTTATAAATAGATAATTGAGTATTATGTATAGGTACATGAAAATAATCAAATTATTTGCAATAAGATCCAGTCAGTTTTTTTAATTATATCAAGTGACGGGATGAACGAGTCGTGTGTCTGATGGTAAGTTACAAGGCCTGGCCAATATCATTCTTCATTCTATGCAATTTTGAGTTACAGCAATATGGTTTCATGTGCGATTGTTCCCATGCTTCAATAATACATACATTACTGAAAGTACTTGGAAATGAAACAATTTTTTCGAACCTAAGTCGCATATATATTTTTTTCAAACTCTTCCAAAGACTCGGACCCTTCACCGGTCCTGCCTGGTCGAAAAGACAGCCATGACCATGGGACCTAAGAACTCAATATTTCCCAAATGACTGTCATGCACAATTCGTTTCTACCTTTGGTATAATAAAGCCACTTGTGATTATTCGTCAAATATGCTTTTATCACATGGAAGTTAAAAAAAAATACGAACTAAATGAAACAAATTATGTGTACGTATGTGAAATTTTATAATTCTTCTTTTTGAGCATAAAAAACTTATCGACTAAATTTTGGTCGTAGAATCTTTAAACCTCTCTCCTGAAAAGTTATCATTTTACAGATGTGGCGTTATTCCGCCAAGGGTGCGAATTATTGCCATTAATATTGGAATTAAACCCTTTCGACGCGGATAGTAGGATAAAATATAATAATCGAGCAAACAAAAAGGTTTCAAAGTGAATTTCATCGTAGACAAGTGAAAGTTTGTTCACATTTTCTACGTGATCAAAATTCCTATCTCTAAAGCTACTTACATGAATGTCTCTGGCGTATACGTCATCATTTTCAGTGTTCTGTACATTTAGATATTTTTCGGCTAACACTTTTAACATCTCACCCAAGACAAGGGTGCTCACTTTCCGAACTGTAGTATCATTTCTAAAAGAACAGCGCTTATCACTATCTTCTTATTGTTTGTATAACACAAGAATCTTATGAAGAAAACTTAAATTAATTTTATTTTTTATTTTACCAAGTGACTGGACGAACTAGTGCGCTTGCACATAGCGATACACTTGTCCATGACAGTTGCAGTGTCACTCAGAGCGTTAAATCACAAAGATCTGAGGGACATTGTCACTGCGCCTGCGACCCTAAAACATTAGTTGACAAGTCCCATGTGTCTATGATTTCACCAGCACGAACAAGAACCATCCTGATTAAATAGCTTTCAAATAAAGTTTAAAAAACCATTCTGAGATCAGTCCATTCGTTTCCTACGATAGTACAGCAGATAGATATAGACACATAGACAAAGTGTCAAACTTATAATTCCCCTTTTTATGCGCCGGGGGTTTAAAAACAAAGGTGTACGTCTATTATTTTGTATTTAATTGATCTACAAGATCATTTCTGAGATTACGATCTATGTTACAAATAAATAAACTTTTTTATGTTTCCCTAATATTTCTATAAAAACAGCGTAAAGGCTGACGATTCGTGTCATTCCTTGCCGGGTCTATGGGTCTACTCTTGATCTCCGTCCAAAATCCGTCCGAAACAATTACTGATAAATAAGCAATACTTGACCAAATGTTAAAAGTTTCATTCCTGATACTTGTCTTTTAATTTTGTCGAATATTACTTATTTGACCATTAAAAAGTCAATGTATTTGACAGTAATTGTTTCGGACAGATGTCAGACGGAGATCCAAATAGACCCCCAGGACCGTCACAGTGCCGTATCGTTTCCACCTTGCGCCGACCGGGTCAATCAGTCACTGATTCATTCATTAATGTATAATTATTGTGTAAATAAATAAATTAATGAATTTACTTATTTATACATTTTAGGAATAATACAATTATAGTATACTTGAATATGAGTAATCCAATGCCATTTACGAATTTCCACCAACATAAAGCACAGAGTAGGTGAGCACACATTCTAATAATTTTTCGTCGTCCATTTTGCGCTTGCACTGTCCACTGTACTATAGTCCAACGTTCCAGAGTCTAACGTTACGACGTGTCGCGATCGGGCCGGGTTGGAACCGGGAAAAAATACTCGACGCCGTGCTCCGGTTGTGCCTCGGCCGTGACACGGATTCGACCCGGTCTAACATGAACTTCATACAAAAGCATATATACAGATATTTAACCGTGTCACGGCCGGCACACGACCAGAGCACGGCCCGGCCCCGGCACGGTGCACATATTGCATAACGGCTCACCTAATAATTTGAACTTGAGGCAGCATAGTAAGGTATCCTTTTGAGAAAAGAACATCGCAGAAATCAAATAACACTTCGGATTTTGTGTTTTCGTGTAGAAAATTTAGTAAAAACTTTAGAAACACGCAGTATTCTTCTGTTGAAATTTGATTTTGATTTTCCTGAAACGCGGTATTAATCTTTCATTCTTACGGTCCTTCTAGCCGGATATTATAAAAGATATTTATACAAATATTTATGAAGATATTTAGAAATATTATAAAAAAATGTTTGTAACTTAGTACTTCACTGTAAAAGAAAATTAAAGATTGGAAATATTTTTTTATGATACCAAGACGGGACGAACAAGACGTGCGCCTGGTTGTAGGCAACACGTGCCACTACTACGTGCCATTCAGAGCTGTAAATTGCTAACATCTGAGGGACACTGTCACTGCACCCGCCACCCTGACACATAAGTTACTTCCCATATGCCTGTCATTTCACCAGGACCTTTCAAAACCAGAACGCGGTAGTGCAGTACTGCTTAACGGCAGAAGCAGGGAAAGTGACAGTACTTTTATAGGTGAACACTTTCACAAGTAGCTCTACTACTACTATTATTTATATTTCAAAAATTTACTTTTACAATATTTCAAAAATAAAACCTGAAATCTTATTTATCGTCTGTATAGATTGTTAAAACTTGGTAATATAATAGTTAATGATAGCTTTTCTCCTGTTAACGTGTTGAACGTAATTATTTCGTATACTTACCTTAGCAAACACAATCAACTCAGAAATAACACGTTGTACATAACAACTCATTTCAATAGTGCACTGTTTTAGCACGCTAATCTCCTGATCGTCATTCAAGATTGTCTGAACGAAGTCCGCTTTCGCACTGCCGTGCCGCAACAGTTTTATGAGCCTGTTAATATGTACATTACTTCACTTTCTTCGAATTTGTGTTCATAGAAATTGTTTTGATTTACTAGACACTTCAAATTGTTTTTTACGCTTAATTATCGTTTGTATGACGGTCATTCTCTACCTAATTTCCGTGGCAATTTTTATTATTAAAATATTCAAGTATATAAGATAAAAAACAAAAGATACCTATTAATCATGACGTTTATACATATAAATTAAACAAAATAAAAAATAAAAATGATTATTGGGAATAATAACAAGATTTAGATGTTAAGATTATGTTCGACAACAAGTATTTATCTCTCCTATTTAAGCATGAAAGTTATTGACTAATTTCGGTTGGTGGAACCTTCAAACCTCTCCCCTGAAAAGGTGTCACTGTGCAGAGCTGTTTTTATTACATCCAGGGTGCGTGTTAGGCTGCTAACAGATTGACTCATTGTTTGCAGTTAATGCGTGAAGTCGTAATCAACTTCATGCAGCCGAGATCACGACTTCACTTCACTCCTTTTAGTTTGTTAATTCGTTGTGAGAGATATATATGTACATAAATAGAGATATGCATGTGAAAGATATGTATATTCACTTAACCGGAACAGGTGGAAGTGCGAACTCTTATTTACCTCAGTACGTTGATTCCGAGTTGACAAATGATGACCAAGAACATTCCGCAAGCGCTACCATCTGCGGCCAGCATAGTGTGGTTCAACGTGCCCATGAGTAGAGTGAACCATTGGTTCAATACTTCGAGTAAGGCGGTCGCTGTGCTTCCCTTTAAGAGTCGAATGGAGTATCTAAGAATCGCACACTTTCCGAAAGGGCATCGTGCTTACTTCTTTAACCATTGGCCATTTAATACTTTTAAATAACACGTAGGTCTTGGTGTCATAAAGCCACATGTGGTTATATGTCAACAGTGCTTTTATTTGTGGAGATTTGTAATTAGCACTTTTCACCTGTTACTCAACATATATTTATTGAAAATAACGGATAACTCACGTATTTAAGTCGAATTTTTGCTCGACATGTGTCGAACCTATTCGTGGTCTTTAGTCATGAGATTCCGCGGCGGTGACTCAACGGAAACTGCGCGCCAAAGCCCTGGCAGTCCGATCACTCAGTACGGCAGCGGGCGCAGGCGGCGTCGGCGAGAATCTACCCTCGTTTGCTTCATTATTATTAAAGTCATATGCAGGATTGCACACTACACTAACTTTTAACAATTTTTAGACTTTTATAGATTTGTCATAGATGGCGATACAGGCTGTGGCTTAGTTGGCATAGTGTCTGGCACGGTTTGCTAAGAGATGTCGCTTCGAATCCGGCCGGATCGAATGAATTTTTTCTAAATGTTCGATCTTTATATTAGTAGTTATCAATTTCGTTAGTGCAATATTTAAACAACTCTCGTGAAATGTTGTCATTTTCCAGATGTAGCCTTATTACACTAAGGGTGCTTCAAAACAAACATTAATTTTTTACTCATTTTTTAAAAACAAGATACTAAATAAGTTGTCCATTGGTTAAAGTGAATGAATATTTTTAGTACTAACCTTTATACATAGACTATCAGGCTGGTATGATACGAGAGCATGCAGCACTAATGCGCTAGATAGGATAGTATTGGGGTTGGTATTGATGCGAGGAGCCAAAGCATTGAGGCAGGCCAAAAGTTGTACAGCGCTGTACGCGCTTTGGTGAGACAGCGGTGGCGTGGTTTGGTAAGTGCTCACACTGGAAATTATTTATGTATCTAAAATAGAAACTACAAGGCATCCTATCGTTTTGGGACACGAGGGAAAGTACTTTAAATATTGTAGATAGGATATTTTGCTTAATGGAGACATTATTTTATTTTTTAAAGTAATAGGTACTGCATTCAAAGACATTTAAAAAGTTGCTTGCTTCATCTGGGAATGGAATTGACCAAATGTAAAAAAAATTTCCTTTATTTTTATGGCGTCGATCGAAAAGGTCAACTATAAAGATTAATTCTTTATAAGAGTTTACTTTGACAGTTGTCGCTAGCGATAGTGTAATATAATTGTATTTAAAATTTTACAAATTGTAACCGCTAGGGGCGTTATATAATTGGCCATACAAAATTGTGAAGTAATTTACGCGTTCGCTAGCGATGATTGTCACAGTAACTTCATAGTAGAGGCAAAGTAACATAGTATATTAATATTTTATCCTATCTACTATATTTAAAGCATTTTCCCTTCGTGTCTCATAACCCTGGGACGCTCTGTATAAATGTATACATGACGAGGCGGTATGCGAACGACTTTATAGTGGAATTCTAAGGGTGCCTTCAAATTAATCGCATATATAAGTAGAAGCGCTGCAGCCGCGCCACTACTAAAACGTTTATTGTATTATAGTACCCGAGAGACCCTAACTCTAATTTAGCAAGGTGTAATAAGAGTTAGCGAAGTAGGGACCATCACCAGAGCAGCAGCGCCCTAAGTAATGGGCACACTCATACTTGATTTGGGCCTTGAAATTGGGTAGTTATATAAGCGTTAAATTTTCATACAACATTTAGTAGCGCAGTTGCAGTGCCACTGTTGCAGTCATAATTAGGGAACTAAAAATTACAGAAGCGCTACAGACGCGCGGTTGCCCCGCCACTGAAATGCTACTATAAGCCTCTAATTTAAAGGCAACCTTAATTAATCTGCGTCTCACAGGATGTATATTTTGTAAGTAAATGAAACACTCTACTTTTCATTCTTCCCTATGTAGGAAAAGGTCATCCAAATCCTAGAGAATGATCCGTTTTGCTCTTTCAGGTTCTGTATCTACCCAGGATATTTTAATATAGCTAGTGTAAATGATATATGTAAATTTAATACATATTTACAAATCTATTAGCAACTAGTAGAGTCTCTTGATTTGCTTACAGACTTGCTCAGCTATTGACGATCGTCATTGGCGCTCGATGTGCTGTGTTGTGACGTTTTGGTGATCAATGAAATCTGTCAGCTAACAAATTTGTTCGATTTTATCGATCGTATTGTCGCTGTTCGCGATCGACATATTAGGGTCAAAATCGAACAAATTTATAGGTACCTATGCCTGAGGATGTGATGTCGCAAAAGGAGACCGCAGAAAGAGCTAGGGAGGAAGACGTCCATGCGGACCAAATCCGGTGCAGAAGGTTGGGGGGTCGGCGAAGACGTTACAATCTTGTCCTTCCCCCTTCAGGTGGCCCAGGGCACAATGTTGCCCTACCGGGTATCTCCCATAACGTGAGGATGTCCCCGCGGAAGGGAACAACCACCGGGGTGAGTGGCGAGTCTTAACGGGATCCCACGAGCCGGCACCGGTGGGTGAGGGTGCATACACAGGTTTTTAGTGGGTAGGCCTGCGAGGATCGGGCGAGCTTGTATCGCTGAATCGATCAGCGGAGGAGAGTCCCACATAACCCCGTCATGTCATCGCCGGCGGCGGGGCATGCGTAACGCATTTTCCTGGTATAAAAAAAAGGTACCTACGCCTAATTTAAACTCCGGTGCAATGCATAAATACTTTGTTTTATCTGTCTTTCGATGGACAAAAAATAAGATGTCGATCTTCTGTTTCTTACACGTTTATTTGACTTTTTTCTGATCACACGATGTCGATCGTCTATTCCTTACACATTTACTCGTTTTGTTTGATCACACGTGACGTTTGTCAAAAAATCAACCAATTTGTAAGCACCGTTATGCATTGTTCTCAGGAGAATCTGTCTTACGAATGAGTTCTATTGTATTATGCTATATGAGTATTGACGACATAAAATACAGATATAATGTGTATTTCAATTTGGTGTCTTCAAGAGAAAAATGGTTTCATATCTAGGGAAGAGAACGGATGGGAGTAGGTGCACAAATAAGCCTATGCACACGGCGTATTTTATATGCGCCGACGAGTGTATACGTGCGTATAATGCGTGTCATCTGCGCATATACGCGCCGTAAATGCGCTATAAACGCGCTTATGTAGGTATCACGCATCTGCAGCGAGTATACGCGCAGCAGATGCGCATTTACGGCGCGTATAAAATAGCCGTGTGCAAAGGTTCTAATGGTTTGATGATAATGGTTTGAATAACGGATTGTCTCTCAAGCAGAGCCCGTGAGTTCGAATCCGGGCTCAATCCTGTGTTTCTCGGAATTTGTTTGCAAATTTAATTTCAAATTTACCATGAATTTTTCGATGAAGGAAAACATACCCAGTTAACAAATCATATATAAAATGTAAACAGGCATCTACAGCAGCGTGGTATCCGCTGCCCGCAAAATGAGCCAGCGCGCGCAACACCGCCGTCATCGCATGCGCGGCATGCTCCTCCGCGAAGAAGCGACGTTCCCGCCATAATAGACGGAGACATTGTAGGATTGATCTAGAACAATTGATATGGATATTTTTAAACGTGGACTACACTGAATAATACACATAGTACCATACCTAATTTAATTAGGATACATATTTATTTTTTACTGCCTCTGTGGCCGAACGGTTACCATGCCGGACTGCCACGCAGAGGTCCCAGGTTCGATTCCCGGGCTATGAGAATTATTTGTATGGCCTACATTTATTTATCTCGTGAGTTTGGGTGTAATTTGTGTGTGTCCATGGCGCCTGCCACACAGGATTTCCCTAGTGCAGGGGTATGTTGATTGTGTGCGTTATTATTATTATTACTTACTTCGTACTCTTAAATATTAACAGTTTACCTTCATGTAAGTACGTACAACATTACTGACGGATTTCTTTCCTTGGTATGTATAGGTCTATAACAGAGCAAAAATAATTAAAGAAAATGATAAAGAATATATAAATTTAATAGCATTACCAACCTAAACAACGAAAAGTCTAGATTAGATGTAGCTTCACACAAAAACACTGTGATGTCATTATCGAGTAAATATTCCACTAATCGGGTACCCTCTAAAGAAGTCTTTCCGTATCTTCCAATTACTTCAATGAGGTAGCCACACGCTTTGTTCTGAGCTTCGGTATCTCGCGAAGTTAATAATCTCTTGATATCTGATAGTGCATTCTGTCTACCACTAGGATTGTACGTTCTATTGAAATTCGAATTAACTAAACTGTACATTACGTTAAAAGTATTTATATTTGGCGGTTTTGGAAATATCGATCGGAAAAATTTCGAAAAAATCCCGCCTGTTTTTTATTCGCATGAGTTTTTTTTTTACTTTTTAAAAGTCTTTTTAAAACTTACTAGTTTAAAAGAATGTATCTGGAAACATTTTTGTACGTTGCTAATTTTTTTTTCTAAATCCGTAAATATTTTAATATCATAGACTTACGAGGATGGAAATTTTATGGCAACGACGTAAAGTAAGAAATTGATAGTATTATATTGGCAACATTATTCCTAACTGTCATTCTCATCTGGTTGCGCGAGGCGATCGCTGAGACTTTTATTTTTGATTATTTTCCCTTTATTGTTTGCTTTAGCAAATTATTAATTGTTTACTAACGCGCTGCGATCATATCAGAGTACGTTGAAAATGGTAAGAAGGTGCATTTGCTTTAGAGTGATTGCAAAAGTTGTGTATAGTGTACCATGCTGTGGGTCCTTGATTGTGTCTATTATTGCGATTGAACGTATCTTGTTGTGTTTTTGCAGTCAGTGATGGAATTTCTAAAAGACCTGCCGTCCTACAACGAGCAGAATTTCTCGTTGTTCAACACAGATCATGGCATTAGAAATTGTTCGAAGAGACCGTCGATATATTTACCTACGAAGGATATACCCTCGGAACAAAGTAAGCTATTATTATATTCGTCTACCATCTGTTAGGGTATCAACGTTGGCAAAAACTAACGATATTTAGATGCATGTGGGTATACAAACGTGTTTCTTATTTAAAAAGATTGCAAAATGATTTTGTTCCTATAAGGTTAGGGCATAGGCATATCTTTAGATTGTAGAATAATAAAATTTCAAGAATTATCTAGAAAGGTCTATTTCAACATTTTAAAGTCAGAGAGAACTCTTAATTTAATAGCATTGTTATATGAAGTAGACCTTTCATAGTACTGGAAATAAGAATTTTTGGATTAAAATTGCATATATTTGTGTTTTTTATAAACAAACAAACATTTCACACTCTTTACAGGTACCATAGTCATGGCTGACTGTTATTAGTTGATTTAGTCAGTTGTAGAAATATAGACAATTTAGATTAAAAAAAAAACAGTTTCATTTAGAATGTGTAGTAATTGTGAAAACCTAAGAAGTCAATACTTTCATTGTATATCGTATATTTGACCATAGTATTTTAGAGTACACCATCCAAATTTGCAATCCTTGTTATCATATTTACATTTAAATAGATCATTTAATGGTCGTACTGATGAGAGGCCTCATATGCCCCAAATGAAGCCACTCTAATAATGATAATAATATCATATATACATTTCACGGCTTGAAAATATACAAAAAAAGTTTTATTTGTTTTTAGTGCTATTGAACAAGTAATAGTTATAATTATAACAATCTCTATAGGAAGCACCATCACCTACCATTTGAAATTCATTGTGATATTAATGATTTAAAGTTTTTATTAAATATAGCATTGGGCTCTATTGACTATCTGGAATTGCTATAAGACTTATCACTGAGAGTTCCCTCTAAGTATCTTAACAACAATTAACTATTGGTTCTACCTCCGGTCCCAAGTAATTACAAGCAAAATGAGTTTATGTGGCATGCCATCAATAATTTTAACATTTTATCTAATACTTTTGATTTGGATCTGTTCAATATGAGTGTGATTTCGGCAATGACAGCACTGAGTGGTTGCTTCTTTGACTCTTAGTGAGATGTACAACTGTGGTTTTTCTTTTTTTATGTTTCCTATAATAAGTTAGGTAAATTGTGCACCCAGATTCTTTATTCTATTTTTACTTGGGAGGAAAGATCCTGAGAAGCCAATTAAAGAAATTGGCTCTCAGTTGTTATTATTATTATTTAATTTAGTTTTAAGTTGTTGATCATCATTTAAACAAATAACAAAATTTTCAAATACAAGATCTATTGCAGTAAAATATAACATAAATACCTTGCTAAATTGCTCAAACATGTGGTGTAAGACACTGGAATAAAGATCTTTTAACATAAAAGTTACTAAAAATTTTCTTTTTGTTTATCATAACAGCCAAAAAAAGCACTTTATGGTCTGTTTTCTATTTGATTTCTGTAATACTGCACTCCATATCATTAGTGACGTAATCTACATTTTTAGTGAATTTAAGATACCTGCAATCAGTGTAACAAGATCTACAACCCCCTATAAGCGGTTTTTAAATATTTTATTTAGTTTTATTATTAAGCAAATTCAGTGTGTACGAAATTTAAAAAAAAATTATGTGTCATATCTCGAAAGTACCTAATTTTTGTATATCAAGTGATGGGACGAACAAGTTGTTACCCTCGTAACCAGAACGCAGTAATGCTAACATTACTGTTTGGTGGCAGAAATGTGTAAGGTGGTAGTACTTCCCTGAATGAATTCTTTCACAAGCTCGACTAAACCAAAATACAAATGTGTTACAGGAGAGCAGAATAATAATAATAACGTACACACTCAACATAGCCCCGCACTAGGGAAACCCTGAGTCGCGGGTGCCATCGACACCCACATAGACAACCACAAATTACACCCAAACTCACGAGAGAAATAAATGTAGGCCATATTTTTCCCAGCCCGGGAATCGAACCTGGGACCTCTGCGTGGCAGTCCGGCATGGTAACCGTTTGACCACGGAGGCAATGGTAGAATAGTAATGTGCACTTTACTTTGTTAACTTCCACTATTTATTGATTTTTGATGTGTTTAAAATCTTAATCATTTTATTATAAACTAATCCTTTGTCTGGCATGTAGGTTTTGTGTAACTAAACAATAAATAAAATACATTTATGTTATAAAAGTAAAATTTTTTTTCAGTTATTGTAACAGAAAAGACAAATATTCTTCTGAGATATCTCCACCAGCAATGGGAGAAAAAGGTAACTTTGTTAACATTTTAGCAAATTGTAATTAACACCTGGACTAGCCTAAAATAGATTTATAATAATTTATTGTTCAACAAGGCCTTACATTAGGTATTATTAAAGTACACTTATGTGAAAGCCAGGTAAGTACTAAGTATAACATGCTACTAGGAAAAAGGCCAGTAGTTATAAAGTACAACCACTGACCAAAATAGAATTCTCTGAGCTTTAGTCAGCAGCTACAGTAGTTAGGTACAAATAGATCGAGTAGATACATCTAGAAATTGAAAAATAGTAAGATTAATACTGTTATACAAGTTTTTTCTGTTTACTGTGAAATCACTTTAACAAATTATTAAGCCTGACACTTCTGTTGTTTATTTGTGAAGTCATTAACTAGACTACATCATTCCTTAATGGAATGTGGTGAGCTATTATCATAATTGACCTTATACATCTAGCATTTTCTAAACTACACTGACATCAAATAGAAAGAGAGAATAAAAAAAAAATTTAATCAATCAATTGAGTCGATTTGCACACTTAAATTGAGTACTTTACACTAAAACTTAGTTATTTAAATTGTACCGAATTTCTTATTTCAGAATAACAGTTCTCCAAAGAAACGTGACCAGAGCCACATTGAACAAAATGGTGATGAGAGTCGACCACGCAAAAGGCCTTGTCTCAACCTCTCTCTTAATTGAACACGTCTACACTTTTTACTAAGAGTTTGACCTGAAAATGGCATTTTAATTACCTTTAAAGTCTCTAGGTTGATATTCGATTCTTGATGATAAAACTTGAATATCTGAAGTGCCATTTAAAAATGAATCTTATGCAATATTACATAATTAGTTATGGGATTTTGCAGAGATCCGTTGTAATACATCTTTATTTAAACAAGGTATTTGATTTTACCTGCAATGATGCCCTATGATTATTTTATTGCCCCACAACATAGTCCTTTGCTATCTTTTTAGATAAAAAATACTGAGTTTGTGATTGAAATAGGAGAATAATTCATTCCATAACTATGTTAAATAAGGTTTTTTATTTGAATAAAGTTTTGTTACTTTTGCATGATCTGTTTACATTAGAAGAGCACTGATTAAAGGTTCTTGAAGACAAAATTACATGTCACAACTACCTCTTTTGGCACCTATTGTGTAAAACTACATGTAGCAATCTTTTGTAAGCACTAATTTTAATGAAGATGTGTTCAATTTAAATTATTTTGGTGTGGTTTAAGAATTTGTCCAAAATTGTTTGTGGGAAAATTTATTTTATTTTCTAAGAGATAGAATTCTATTATAGTTATGTTTCCAGTTTACTAATCTAGATATTTCACTACATCTAAATACTTTTTCAGCTTACTTTGCTTCAGTACCCACAAAAATGCCTATTTACGATTATGAATCATTAGTTGTAGTCTAACTAAATTATCTTTTTATGTGCATATACCCATCTTAAAATTGATAAATAAAATATTAAATTCTACTTTATATCTTTTCATTTTCCCAACATACATGGCATATGTAAATGAAACACAGATTTGACTGAAAAATAACTTTATTCTAATAATTATTATACTTATCTCACAATTTGCAGAAAAGTTTTAGCTTAAAACAAGCTGCAAATGATCTTTAGGTTTTATTGGGTACCTAATGGAATTGTTCTCTTAGTTTAATAGTGGAACCTTAACTAAGTTATAAACACCAAATCACTAGATTAATATTTAAAAGCTTTTTTCACTGATTTTACAATATCTAGCTGTTTGCTATCCACAATACAGCACAAACAAAAGTCAATGTTGAAAATAAAAATATGACAATGTCAGTAGATTCTTTAAAATAAAAATTTAAGATTTATTCAACTCCAAGTCATAAAGAATACATATCTGGAGAGTTATTATTGATTTAATCCTTGGCTGGTACTTCAATAACTCTAGGTTTGTCAATGATACGGGCAGTACGGTTGCCTTTTTCCACTATACCAATGATCCAAGCTTGGTACCCTTCTTGCTTCTCAATATCCTTGCAGTATGCTGCAGCTTGCTCACGGGGCAAGCAAATCAGAAGCCCACCAGAAGTCTCAGGTGCATGGCCTTGTAACAGTTGGAACATATTTCCACAGGCTTTAGCGACAGCAGCCATCTTTGCAATAACAGGTAAGTTGTGAATGACAAATGACACTTCATTCTTCTGATGAGAGGCCAAATTCTGTGCATGGCCAAGTAGACCAAATCCTGTTACATCTGTGGAGCCATGGGCATTGTACTTATGCATGAGACGGGCTGCAATGCGGTTTAGCCTGCTCATTGAGTCCATTGCGCGATGGTACGCCTTGCGTACATCCTCTTCAGATACTACCAGTTTGATGCGGTTCCAACGTTCTGGTTGGTCAAGCCATTGATGAGCGTTTACAGCAACTTGGGTGCCCAGAGGCTTAGTTAGCACTAACACATCACCCATAACAGCATTGTCAGGAACAATATACTCATTTGGCTGGCAGATAGTGGTGGCTACCCCACCAATGGTGCACCAAGGATTAATGACAGTTTGACCACCAGTAACAGAAGTACCAGCTTCCAAAGCAGAGTCTTTGAAACCTCGCATTATCAGGGGAATAACTACGTCGCGCTCTTTCTCGGTCATTTTCGTGGATACGCCGAGTAGCATCAGCATATTGTCGCATTCAGTGACGCCCATAGCGTACAGGTCGCTCAATACATTGGCACACGCGATTTTACCCATCATGTAGGGGTCGTCAACGAGAGGATAGAAAAAGTCAGTAGTTTGTACCAAACAAAGCCCGCCGTGCCTAAGCGGCGTTACCGAGCAGTCCAAGCCGATGCCGATGCGCGGAATCGCCACATGCATGAACTGATCATCTTGTTGAGAGTAGTCTTGCTGCAATGACTCGACGAGTTTACCCAGAACATCTTGAGGTACTTTACAACTTCTTCCTTTGAGATCTGCGAATCTTGTCAATCGAAAACTTGCTTCTAAATCGTGTGCCACTGGATCGAATGGCCGACGCAAAGCCAAGGCATTGGGGTTACCGGCCATTTCCAATTGTGCCGCAGCTAAGGTATCCTGCGCTACACTAGACTGATACGACATATTATACGAAAACACAACAATAATAAACTTCGCGTGGACGTATTTTTGTTTAAAACGCGGATACCCGACACGCCGCCAAGTGACGCTTGCAAAATGGCGTCTCTTTTACCAGCAGAAAATGGCAGCGTAAGATGTCATAAAATACACGGCTGCGATTGGTAGATATGTATCGTATAACATTTATTGACGCCTGTGATTAGAGAATAAGTGGAGTAATTTCGCTTCGGACAACGAAAACAAATTCTTGTGTATACGACACGTTCGGTTCTAAGCATATTTCAATTTTTAGTTGAAAACTTGATACTGCTTGCAAGCAGTTTCGTTGGTTAAAAAAGAAGCACTTCTGTATTTTAAATAAACCGCATACGAAACGAATGGAGCACCCAGTTGACATTTGGGAAAATTAATTTTTTTTCAACCAATCGCTAGTGCACTGAGCATAGACTTTCTAAAACATAGTTGGTTTAAAATACTACTTCGAATTTTTGATAGGTAGGTGAATACATAGTGGCATAGTGTTCATTGATACACAACAAAAACATTTTTTTGAATATATTACGGCGGTTATTTATGCCGATCTTAGAATATCTACGTTTAATTAGTAATTTCTTTTTTATGGTTGTTTTGTTTTAAGCAATTAAATAATGTGAATAGGTTACGATGGCTGTTAACGGTTGGAAAAAAGTTGAAAATGACGAAGGATATCCTTGTTACGTGCAGTAAGTATTGTAGTCCTACTTTCTCTGCGTAAATATCAAAATATAGATTCAAGTTTTAGTAACTAGCGGCGTTTGTGATTTGTTTTACAGTGAAACAACGGGTAAAGAGCAGTTTGATCACCCACACTTTGAGAAGATTATAAAATCTCTCGAGGAATACAATGGAATCAAGCACAGTTCGTATCGTATTGCCTTCAAGATTTTCGCTTTACAAAGAGAACTTAGAGGTAAGATTTTACTGTTTACAAGATACTATATTATATTTAGTAAATATGTGACTGTTTCTCAAAATAATTGTGCATAACGAAAAGGACGTTACGAAATACTACAAAAATTTTATTATTAAGCTTGTTATATTACATTGGCAAAATATAATTGATTTAATCCCTATTTTTATTGAGTTTTTCACAATCTAGTTATTTGCATGATGGATCCTTGAATTTTAAATTGAAGTGAACACATAAATTAGAGCTTGGGGACTGTTTTCGTAGAGATTGCCTTCTCAAAAACATCCCGTGCTCAATCAATATCAACTATATTCTGGCCAATGCCCACTTCTAGTGTTGTAAAAAAGTCCGGGAGTCTATATTTATAAACTCAATTTTGCACGGCTCGGTGGCTTTAAATACTTATGAATCCAAGTTGTGTCACACAAAACTTGCTTGATTTGAGAGAAAATGCCTTATCATTGCCTTCAAATCCGATGTGTGATGGCAACTAAACAACAGTCTGATACACTCATTCTTGTAAAGTAAATTTGCAATAAATAGCCAACCTTAAATGTGAAATAAGTTTACCATTACAACTTAATACTATAAAAGTAAGTGCTATAGCATTTTAGGAATATGCAAAATAACAACTACTTGTATTTGTTAAGGATAGAGCTACTATAAAATATTTGTGGGGAAACATACACCAGTCGCATCAGCATAGGAATTTTGATGCAATTGGTGTGTGATAATAATATGGTGTAACAGGCTGGTGTCCTCAACTCTGTGTTAAGGCACTTATTTCGTCATGTAGTGGGTGCAGTGTCCTACTCATGCCATCTGAGCTGCTCCAAGATTTTTAAAGACTGAGGAGCAACTTTAACTCTCCAACTACTTCGCCCTGTTGTTGGCCATTCTGGAAATTTGTAGAATATGCACAGCTATTTTCTCCCCTTCCATACATGCTCTAAATAGAGAATTAGTTATTGTGGACCTATTCATGAAGCAAGGTGCTTGGAGTGCAACCTATTAGGCCACCAAGTTTGTACACGGTGTGTTAGAGAGGCCTATTTTGGACATGGGCTTTTTTATTTTATATTTACACTTTTATTTAAATTGACTTGGATGAAGTGACAAAATCATCCTTTTTCTATCTTGTTTTTAATAAGACTGGTAACACTTGGGCCTTATTCAGAGTGGCGGCGGGCGCGCGTGCGTATAAACCACATATACGTAGGTGTCTACGTTGCGTTCAGTGGCCGCGCACGCCAACGCCTGTGTCGTGGTGGCTGAGGGCGCGAGTGCGCGTCGCCGATCTGGTAGATCTATTGGCTCTGTCCGCCTGTACTTTTCACAGTGCATGGTCTAGCGTCTGTTTGCGATTTCGACGTTTGGATCTATCCGCTCGTAGCCGCTTCGATACTGTGAAAGAGGAAATACGCCAAGACCCCCGCGCCCCGACTCGCCGCCGCGCCCGAGCCAGCAGTCTGAAAGAGCCCTTGGTTATATTGGCTTTGCGGATTATAATACTCTATCGTAGTAAGAGTCGACATTGTCCTTGTTATTTATTCAGTTTATTGTTATTTCCCACATCTCGTTACAAAAGCTGAGTGGAGAATATTTTGGTGACGTAATAAATGTAATTCTTTTGTTTGGCGTTTTATCCAAAAGTTATTTTTTGTTATCATTTTGTGATAATGTTATCAAATAAACCTATTTTCCTATCTTTCATATTAACCCATGAATGTAGAGTTAAAATTTTTTTTAAAATTTAAATTAACTATTTAAAAAAAAAAATTTAAAATAGTTTGTTTATTTATTGATCCTATCAGCGTATTTGTAGGGTTTAGATTGAAAATTATGAATGGTTAAGTTTAGATACAGTGTCATTCTCATATGGTTCTAATAACATCCTAATTAAGTGGTCCCACGGATATAATGACTGGGTGATTTGCATCTTTGAGGATCTACTTGGGCCTTGGCAATCTACTGCTAATCTTATACATCAAATATTTAGTTGTGTTTGAAGATTATGTGGTTGCATGTTCTCACGTGTATTTGAGTGTATTAATGGGGTAGCTTATACTAGTGGCTCTCGATGATCCTGCTGTAAAGTAAGAAAAATGAATGTAAAAAAATCATATCACACCATTTTAAGCTTAAAACTGACAAAAATTACCTGTAGTTTAGTTAGTTTGGAAACATTGTTTTTATTTTTTGCTTTAATGTTTATAATGTATGTTTTAACCATTTCAGTGCCTCCTCTTCGCATCGCGTCGGGAGTATTCGCGCGACATCAACTTAGCTTATCGGAGACCAGTCTATCACTGGACACAGTTGAGTTGGAGGCAGTATTAACGGACATATACTTTGCAGCAGAGAAGGAAGGTTTATTTTATGGAGATATTGACTTGACCGTTGATCTGTTGATCAACTTGTTGCTTAACGTTTTTGATAGGTAATATTTGTTTTTGTATTCATTGCGAGACATTTTGAAAATCTACCTGTTGCATATTTATTAATTTAACTGTCCCAGCTCTTATTAGATTCTTTGAATAGATCTTTTCATAGAGTTGTGCTAAGTAGTAACTTCCACATGTCGCAATACTATTATCTTGTTTGGGGACTGCTTGTTTTACTTTGCGGTCATCGTCATTTAACTGCCTCCTTGGCCGAACGGTTACCATGTCGGACTGCCACGCAGAGGTCCCAGGTTCGATTCCCGGGCCGGGAGAAATATTTGTATGGCCTACATTTATTTCTCTCGTGAGTTTGGGTGTAATTTGTGGTTGTCTATGTGTGTGTCCATGGCACCCGCGACACAGGGTTTCCCTAGTGCGGGGCTATGTTGATTGTGATTGTGATTGTGAGTGTCATCATTATGTTTACCATCAAGGACGAACAAGTCGTAAGCCTGATGGTAAACAAAAATCTTCATAGCTTCAAATGGTAAAGATCTGAGGAACACTGCAACTGCGCCCGTCACTCTGAGACATAAGGTTGACAAAGTCCCGTGTGCCTGTAGTTTCACCAGCACCCTTACCCTGCAAAACCAGAACACAGTAAAGCTCAAATTACTGCTTGGCGGCAGCATGAATCAAAAACCCAAGAGGACTGCTAATTCGCGACACAGCGTACTCGGGTATTTAGTACTTATTGGTACACCAGATGTCGCGACGAGTGCCAAATAGCTATTTTTGTAACTAATTTGTTTTACATTGACAAGCTGCAATTTATCAAAAATTCATCAAAAATTTATCAAAGCTATTCCTATATCTAGTGATTACAATTTAACTAGGTGGCGCTTATTGCACAGATTTAAATTTTGTTTAGGATTAGCGCCATCTATCCATAATTGTAGGCGTTAAATTATAAATTAGTTTGTAACACACAACATCTATTGAGTTGTATTTATTGCCTCGGTGGCCGAACGGTTACCATGCGGAGGTCCCAGTTTCGATTCCCGGGCCGGGAGAGATATTTGTATGGGACATTTATTTCTCTCGTGAGTTTGGGTGTAAAATGTCCCACGACACAGGGTGTCTCTAGTGCAGGACTATGTTGAGTGCAGGATTATTTGTCATGTTTGATTAAAAGAGCTCTCATGCTAAAAAAGTTTGACGTTGGCTCCGCCCAAATATGTGAAACAAATATATGCCTGAAGTTCGCGTGACATGCGACAGGAGATGTTGAATTTTGCGCATTAAAAGTACCAAATTCGTTTTAGCGGAATAACTCTAAAACTAAAGGGATTAAAAAAAATCCGTAGTGACAGTTGTCGATCATGCATAAATATAATTAATTATCTAATTTTTGTCCTAATAACCTGTAGCATTTCGAGGATAAATCATGATAAAATATGTGAAAATTAGAGGTCATTTCGTGATTTTTATCTATCGAGGAAAATTTATTGTTTTATGTTTCTGATTAATGTCTATGCTTGAATATATCGTGTAGTTACTCATACAATATTTTATTTTTAACTTTAAAGTGGATATACCCCTCCAAAATCAAATCGAAGATTAGGAATTTTTCCTCTGCTCCCTCTTAATATTGCAAGGAAAAAACTGACTTCTTATTTTTCTTATTAAAGAGGAATTAATTGATATCCTCGGCCATTTATATAATACGTGGGGCATACTATAAATGGTCAGAAATTAATTTATTGTTTCTCAAAATATTCTCTGTTAGCGTTAACGCACTTTTTCATACGAATGAACCAATTTTGAAAACATTTATGCAACTCCTCCGTGACAATCTCTGAAACATATTTTTCACACTCTTCGACAGCCTCTTCAAGTGATGAAAATCGTTGACCGCGTAAACGGTTTTTAATTTTTGGAAATAAATAAAAGTCCCAAGGTGCCAGGTCGGGACTGTACGCGGGATGGCTCATAAGGTCTACGTCGTTCACCTTTAAAAATTTATTTGTCAGTCTGGCCGTGTGAGAACTGGCATTATCGTGGCGCAAAATGATACGGCGTTTACGGTTATTTTTACGGATTTTGTCAATAACTTCCGGCAAAGCAATGTTCGTGAACCAATCACTATTCACGGTACAACGATTCTCCAAAGCAACAGTAGCCACATGTCCCGTTTTATTAAAAAAGAAGCAATCATCCGCTTAGAGGCACTTTGCACGCGCGTCACTTTGGTTGGTTTCGGCTCATCTCGAAAGACCCATACACTCGATTGCTGTTGTGTTTTGGGATCGTAACTATAAATCCATGTTTCGTCACCTGTTATTATATCCCATACCAAATTTGACGCCCATTCGTTGAATCTGGTAAGCGTGGCATTGCACCAAGTGACGCGATCCGTTTTTTGAGCCTCAGTCAAATTGTGTGCGATCCACCGAGAGCACAGCTTTTTCACACCCAAATGTTTGTGTAGTACTGATTGTATTTAACTCATGCCTATGCCTACAGATGCCCGAATCTCGTGGTATATCACATGCATGATCATACGGCGCTCAGCATCGATGTTTTTGTTGTTCACAGCAGTGGACGGGCGACCATTACGAAATTCGTCACTGACATTCACACGACCGCATTTGAATTCTGAAAACCAGCTATAAATAGTCGTCTTGCATGGTGCTTCATCGCCAACAGCAGTTTGAAGCGGAGCGAAGCTCCGCTGAGCTGTTAAATTACACTTAGAAAATCATACTTCGAAAATTGTCATGAGTTAAATCCATGGTGATGTATCAAGACTAGGAAGACTACCAATTTCTAAAATGACGCTATAATGTAAAAACAAGACAGTCAGACGAAAGAAACTGTATTCTACAGCCAAAGAGTTCCATTTTCATTGTTGTGTCCGTCAGAATGGCTGGACCAAACGAGATATACAAATCAAAACAATCGTTTTAGAAGATACCTTTTACAAAGGCGTTTTATTATTATTTTTAAATAACTTTATAGAAGCTTCCTAAAATAGTGTAAAAAAAGTAAGTTCAGGGAGAAATTAGGTAGTAAATAGTTATATCAACAGTGGGTTATATACCTTTTTAACAGTTACAACCTGTAGTATGGCGATTAGCGGTCCTCTTGAATAATTGGTCCATGGCGGCAGTAATGGGTAAAGTGCAAGTACTGTACTGGAAAGCTTTCACAAGGAGTTCTACTGCTACTAATTCGTTGTTACTGTAGCACAGGCTGGTTAACTATTTTGTATTTAGAACTGTATAAAAATAGAAGGTTGTTGTCAAATGAACATTGCGGTGGTTCTGGACAAATCTTCAAACTGAACGCTTGCAGTAAATCTTTAATTAGGTTTCATCGAGTATATAATCAGAAATAGAAACGAAATAAGGGCCATACCTCCTGGTCACTCATCAGTGATACATCACTTATAAATATCAACTCTCGTTTGCAATGAAATTACAATTAGAAAGCTGAAATAGTACAGCGCCAACAACTGACCTGTGTGTACGTTTTCGTATATTCCAAAAATATTCTGTATTTATTGTAATAGAGATAATATCTCTAACAATGACGTGCTGTTCCATTCAGTGGTATGAGGAAAAACAGCAAAACATCTAATTACAAAACAAACGGAACCAAATTGCATTGGTAATTCAATATTAAATATGTAATTTTGCAATTTTCGTCCATTATAGCAAAGCTCAAGTTAACTGGTCGATTTGAAGTGAAACAATTGACGACACACGTCAATTGTTTCGAACTCGGGCTGGCCAATTGGAGCGCAATTGTCACAGTAATGATATGGCAGAATAGTTTTCAAACAAATTAAATGACATTTCGTCTCGATTTCTGTTTATATGCTCGATGTTAGGATTATATTCCTCGTTTAAATATTAAATAGTACCTCTCACTAGGCTACAACCACGGCTACGCTCTGACATTACTGAATTGTTGCTACGGATCTAATGTGACCCATATTACATCAATAATGAAACCTTGTATTATTTTTAATTGTGTTAAATTGTTTGCAGAAATAGAAAGGAACAAATCAGAGTACTAGCTACTAAAACACTCTTGATAATACTAAGTGAGGAGTCTGTATCAGACAAGTGGTCAGCTATGGCCAACTGCTGCTCGGACCACAATGGTTGTGTGTCACCAAGACGATTGACCGCGCTGCTGGCTCATGTTACAGCGCTGCCAACATATCTTGGAGGCCAGATAGAGTCTATACAGGCTGACGTTGATGCTTGCTTTGATAAGGTAACTTTTCCACCAATAACTAGACACAAATCCAGTAAACGCGAAAGTTAGAATGAAAATGTAATAGTTTTCGCAATAAAAAGGAATAATTTCCCATTCAACTTAGTTCAGCTGAGTTCCATTAATGATAAGTTAATACAACGTGTGTTTAGCCATTCTAACTTCACTATTCTAACTTCATTTACTTGGTCTTCCTAAGAAAAGAAATACTAATGCAGTTAAAGAACTTCACATAGTTTTCAAAAGTTGTGAGCCTTCTTCCTCATACAGGTTTCTTCACGATATTTTCCTGGACCGTTAACTAAGGGTTACCACTCACAAAAGTACTTTTAAATTTAAGTTGATCTTCTGGACTTCAATTGACCAGCAACCAAAATAAAACTCTTCTCGTACTAATGAATTTGATTTTCTGAAAGAAGTCTATGTTGCTGATTGATCTTTGATAAAAATTCGGATTTGATTTTACTTAACATAAGTATTGTATTTTTTATTAGGTTGTAAGTTTCTCTTCTTCCGCTACCTGTACAATTATATATTTTCTTCTCCTGTAACCTGTTGCAGAACGCAGGCATGCTAGGCATAGGCGCGTCGGCTCTGGCTGAGTGGGGTGTCCAAAGCTGCGTAAGCGCGCGTTTCCTGATCGTTGTACAGCGCGTTATCTCCAGTAGAAACTGCAGCAACGTTAGTTCTAGCTGTGCCGCCTGCGCACAACCGCTAATTCAGGTATTGCTACTATAGTATTCTGACAGTTTATTTACTTATTTAACTTTTTTGCATGATTCAAAATACAAATATTTTGTATATAATAAAATACAAATTGCGGACTTAATGCTATAACATATTCCCTACCTGTTAACCATTGGGTCAAACAGAAAAAACTATAGGTAGGTTCTACACTTCAAGCAAAAATAACAAAATACAATAAGCCAAAATTTAATAATTAAATTATATGGTATAAAATGAATATAACAAACTTACTTAATATACATGTATAATAAACACACATACATAGGGCACACTATAAGTTTCCGGAACTGGCCACTTACATAAACAATATTTAAAAAGTAATTACAACATTTGAAAATGGAACTCTGGCTGTGAATACAGTTTCTTTCATCTGACTTGTCACTTTTTTTTACATTGTGGCGTCATTTTAGAAATTGGTTGTCTACATCACCATGAATTTAAATCGTGAAAATTTTCGTAGTATCATTTTCTACGAGTTTAAGTGTAATGTAACAGCTCAGCGGAGCTTCCCTCGGCTTCAAACTGTTTTTGGCGATGAAGCACCATTCAAGACGACTACTCATAGCTGGTTTGCAGAATTCAAACACGGTCGTGTGAATCTCAGTGACGAATTTCGTATGATCAAAACAGACAGGTATGTGATATACCATGAGATTCGGGCATCTTTAGGCATAGGCATGAGGCAAATACAATCAATATAATCAATACTACACAAACATTTGGGTGTGAAAAAACTGTGCTCTCGGTGGATCCCACACAATTTGACAGAGGCTCAAAAAACGGATCACGTCACTTGGTGCAAAATTCAACGAATGGGCGTTAAATTTGGCGTGGGACATAGTAACAGGTGACGAAACATGGATTTATAGTTACGATCCCAAAACAAAGCAGCAATCGAGCGTATGGGTCTTTCGAGTTGACCCGAAACCAACCAAAGTGGTGCGCGTGCAAAGTGCCTCTAAGCGGATTATTGCTTCTTTTTTTAATAAAACTGGTCACGTGGCTACTGTTGTTTTAGAGAATCGTTGTACCGTGTATAGTGATTGGTACACGACCATTTGTTTGCCGGAAGTTATTGACTAAAAAAAAACCGTAAAAATAACCGTAAACCGTAACCGTAAACCGTAAATCATCTTGCACCACGATAATGGCATTTCTCACACGGGTAGACTGACAAATGAATTTTTGAAGGTGTACAACGTTGACCTTATGAGCCATCCCGCGTACAGTCCCGTACTGGCACGTTGTGACTTTTATTTATTTCCAAAAATTAAGAACCATTTACGCGGTCAATGATTTTCATCACTTGAAGAGACTGTCGAAGAGTGTGAAAAATATGTTTCAGAGATTGTCACGGAGGAGTTGCATAAATGTTTTCAAAATTGGTTCATTTTTGTGAAAAAGTGCGTTAACGCTAACGGATAATATTTTGAGAAACAATAAATGAATTTGTGACCATTTATAGTATTTTTTTTTATTCATTCCGGAAACTTATACTGTGCCCCACGTATAATAGTAAATATACATGTATGTATGTATGAATTTCTTTGAGATATTGATTTTGGCAAAGTATGTTTGAGAACTATGTTAAGCGGTAGATATGATTACGAAGCTGGTAGCTGACAATGTGGAATGATTAACTAATTGTATCTACTATACTTTACGTTTAGTAGATAAAATAAATATGTTTTATTTAGCATTAGACAGATAAAAATTTTGAGTCTCGCAAAGCAATTTAATAAAATCCATGAAACGAAATTCTGTAACATATTTACTGTCTTTATGGTAATTGTTACGTTTTTTTTTTACTCTTAACTTTCACCAAAAACTAACTGTAAATGTTTGTGTCTTCACAAACTTAATCTATTTCAAAGTCTTGTACCATTGACTTACAAATAAATGGACGTTATACAAAAACCACGTTTTAGACCCGTAATACAAAAACCACGAAAAAAATGTCCCAAGTCAACCTATTTAAACGTAGTGACATGTCAAGGAATATGAAAAAGCTAAAACGTTGAATTTAAATGTAATGTCATCGCAGTACTATCTAATTTTGCTTGCTTCGCTGTCAGTCGAACAAACGAAGACTAAAGCGTGAATGACGCTCTGTATACGATTTTAACGCCCTATAAGTTCGGACACTTTTTAGCGCGGACCCGACGTCCATATAATTGTAAGTCAAATGTCTTGTACTATAAAAACCTTAAAGAAACAGAGCTTTCAAACGGACAAACTTAAAAAAAGTTGCATTTGTCTTGTCATTTGTAAAAGTAATTTGACGTCGATTTTCACGATGTTGTCCTTTACAGTAATTTGTTGTCTGAAGACAAGAGTTTCCTTAAAAAAGGTTTACGATTACTGTTTCTTAGTTTACAGTTTTTCTAATTGTAAAAAAAGACGATGTATAGTATCAGAAAAAAAGGCTAAATTACTGCCATCGGTCTTATCATTTGAAGTCCAAGAGAGGTACAGTCGAAATAGACTGATATACATTTTAATTTGCAGGTGCTTAAATTCAAATGCTCAAAATGTGACGAAACTTATTTCTGCGAGAAATGTTACTTGTACGACAAACAGCCGACGACAGTGAGAGGCCACAAGAAAAGTCATTTGGTGCATGAAATGGTCGACGGAGAGGTAATTACACTCAAAATTGTACGGCATCTTCCCGTAATACTATTTCGTAGTTTTAAGATACCGTGACGTGACGATGACGTGTGCTGTGTTAGGGTCGAAACACAAAACTGCGAATCGGCGTGGATGCGAATGCATGCGTGATGCGAGGTGGCGACACGGGTTTTAAAAATAGTGTTGCACTGCTGTTATTGATAAGAAAGTATAGAAAAAAACACAAAGAAGATTAACATCACAGGAATGCGCTATACTTAGCAATTCGCCATCGCAGTTTTGTGCTTCGACCCTTAAGCGAGTTCGCGAGCGGGTGTCAAGTTAAAGTGGTCGATTAAACCAACCGGCCTATCGTGTGATAACAGGTGCTCTAAATGCTGAATTTGAAATAGTTATGCATTCTCTAATTATAACAATTATAATTTTTTTTAAAACTGACCTCAGAAGTTGGCTATCTGCTTTCGCTGTATTAGTTACATATTTTTCGCCAAGTTTTATTGAAATCGGTTAGCGGAAAGTAGGTAAAATTCAATAAACCATATTCATCTCCTAATTTGCCCCTTAGTGCAATATTTTCTTACTTAGATGGAATATTTTATTCAAATAAGAATGGGACCATTACTGAGGTACCCCCTTTCCAACAATAAAATAATAATCGAAATCGGTTCAAAAAGTCGGAGTAATCTCTCGTTTTTTGAAGTCGTTTAAAAAAAATGTTGCTCAAGGTTTACAAAAGTCAACCTAAAGTACTTGTTTCTAAAGTTTAAAATTCGGAGCTATTGGATTTTTACGGAAAATGACGATTACGTTTTAGCCTATTTTATTGTAATGTACTACTCGTTTTACCTTTTAGCTATGTGTTGCAATGCCACTGAAAGAAGTTTCGCATTTGTTTAAACAACTGGCCGACCTGATATTCTAAATTGGTTCTAATATTTCGGTTTTTTTTGTGCGTCTGGGTACAATAACGCAAAAGTTTTGTCGCAATCAGGATGATAACAATGGTATGGAACAAAATATATAAAAAATATTTATTTTTATATTTGTACATTATTTAAAATGATTTTCTCGTTCTTGGCAATTACCTTTCAGAGAGAAATAAAGCATTTTGTATTTGTAATTCCATTAAAAGTATAGGTTAATGTTCTCTAATATGTTTTGCAATGACATTCTATATTTGAATTATCGGAATTTCTTGAACATGACACATCATGTGTAATTTTACGAGCTCGTTGGCCTAACGACTTCCACTGTTGGTGCTGGATGAGAAGGCCCCGGTTCGATTCCCGGTAAGATCAGTTAGGAAAATGCACTTTTGTACATTGGTTCGGACTTTCTGGTAGTGCCTGGAGTGCATTGCCTTGCTCTGGTTTTCATAGGGTGTGGTTGTTTGGCACATTATTATTTCTATTAATTAATTAAAAGTTTACCTTAAATATTTACATATATTTTAAGTGTTTTTTTTACCGGATTAAATGGTTTTTCAATCATAATATATTCGTCTATTTCAGTAAAATCCGAATAACTCGGAAAATGTAAAGAATGTTTATTTTTATTCAGTGTAAGGTGTTACGTATTCCTGTATTACAAAATTTAATGTAAAATTACCTCAGCTACGCCATATTTAATATTTACCTTTGAATATTTGTTATATTTTCAGACACAACCCTCTCAATGTCTAAGCTTAGTCAAGACAATGAAACGTTTCTTTTTCTGCACGAAAACTAAGAAGAAAATCGTGAAGAATTCAAACAAAGTATCTGACAAGGAAACTATGAAGAAAAGAAAAGAATGCCGTCCAGCTATCTTCACGTCGACTGTGGGGAAAGCGTCGGGGCATAACAGCAATCTGCCTTCAATACTTCAGGATATAATTACACAAATGGAGAGCCAGAATAAGTATGTACAGCAAAGAAAATTGTTTATGAGCTTTTAACATCAGATGGAATGTAGCGATTTATTTATTTTTAGTTTGTGACGGCAAAAGTGGCGCTGCAATTGGGCTTTGAAGTATTGTATGAAAATTACTATTACTAATTTGCATACTATACTAAAGTGGAGACGTGGTAGTGGACTTTAGAGTCGACGACTTAGCGCTGGCAACCGTTAGTTAGTAACGGGAATTGAGCGTGCCTATAGCTCCGATACCTATGTGGAAAATAGGAAGGTGCTGTACGTGCACCCGGGGCTACTCACCGAAAGCACACCTTTCGGGAACCGGATGAAGTGTGGGCTAACAGACTGATCTTGGGGTAAGGACCTGACTGTGACGGTCCAAGTGCTTGCACAGGTAATAGCGCCCTTCTCATATAACATAAGGGTCGGTAGAGAGGGTCACTGTAATCAAAATTTATGTATAGTCTATCTTTCTGACGATGAGGTAAAATTACATTTGCAGGGTTGCCAGTTTTCGTAAAATTTTAAAGTCAAGTTGTCGATAGTTTTACCGATAGATTGTGAAAGTATGTAAAATTTTGCTAAAAATGTCTGAATTTGTGAATGTTACGACGTTCTAATGATTAGTAATTGCGTTATTGTATGCTTTATTCTTATTTTGTCAGTTTGTCTATTAATATCAAAATGAATATTTAATCACCATTGACCTACCAACAAATGGACGTCGGGTCTAATACAAAAACCACGAAAAAAATGTCCGAAGTTATCCTATACAAACGTAGTGACGTAACGAAATATAATAAACTAAAATATTAATTTAAATTGTAACGTCATTGCAGCACTGCCTAATTTTGCTTGCAACAATTTAATGGCCCAAAACCATCATGTTCAGATTCTACTGGAAACTTAACAAAATGGATCTCTTAAAATTTTTTGCACGTGCAATGTGTAGAAAAAGGACAGTTAGCTATTTGATTATTTTGTGTTATTTTGTTTAATTTATATTTTGTAATTTATATTTACGATTAATTTATATATAAATTAAATACTATACAACTTTACAAAATAACACTTTTAAATGATAACTATGACAACACAACGTTTATAGAAAATATGATACAAACTCCTGTTTTTACACTTTACTGCAGTAATTTTTACAAGTTATTATTATGTTACAATATAGTAACCCAGCATGATTGGCCAACGCGCTCAGTCGATCAAACGAAGACTGTTGCGCGATTGACGCTTCTTACACACACGGACACTTTTTAGCGCGATCCCGACGTCCATTTATTAGTAGGTTAATATTAGTCACACACATTTTAATAACGACAGGCGGATTTGATTATGTACATTAAAAATAAAATATAAATAAAAATCTTTAATTATGTCTCCTATTTGTATTTTTAATAGACATAGTTCTACATTTAGTGTATGTATGAATGAATTTGTTTTCCGGTTTTGACGGGTAAGGGTGCTAATGCTAATGTGAAATTACAGGCACATGGGACTTATCAACTTATGTCTCAGGGTGACGGGCGCAGTGGCAGTGCCCCTCAGATCTTTACAATTTAAAGCTCTGAGAGGCACTGTAACTGTTATGGATAGGCGTGTAGCATCGGGCGCACGAGTTTTCATATTTCGCTTGAAGTTATAAAAAAAAACAAAACACCACACTTGAATTGAACATGTAATTTTAAAGACTACAAAAATACTATTCAAACTGGATCTGCCTCTTTAGACAATTCTGTAATATATTTTTATGACATCAAGTAACAGGACGAACTAGTCGTTCGCCTGGTGTTAAGCGACACGTCTATCCATAGCCATTGCAGTGCCACTTAAGAGAATTTAAATCGCTATGATCTGTGCCAATACGGATAGACATTTATTAACGGAAGGAACTACTGGAAATGAATATGTTCCACTGTTTAACGAGTTATTTCGTTTCAGGGCACTGAAGGAGCTATCGGCTCAACTGGATAACTTGAAAAACTGCGACGGTGTGTTGAAGCGAAAAGTAGACGCGCACTTTAATCAAGTTTCGATGCAAATTAACAGACTTAAAATTGTGAAGGTGACTGAACATTGTTGTACTTACTGAAATGTCTATGTAACAACAAGTCTTTTCGATACTCCCTCTGCGTCACCGAACATACTTTCTAAATACACTCCCTCCATGATGTTTATGAAACTAACACGTGACGGACACTGGCAGGATTGAGACAATAAATTAGTCTCACAAGCCATTCATTGATAAAAAAAGCAAGTCCCAATCGTTAACTATGGGTTAAATTTCATTCAGGCGTTACTTTCCAGAAGTCCCGTGTGAACTCACTCTGGGGCACTTCACAGAACACCCAGACCACAACCAATATAGCAAAGTCTTCCTCCAAATCCAGAGCCTACAATGTTAACCGTTAGGCCACCCAGGTCGTCAAGAATGGAATAAAAAATGTCACCGTGTATAATAATTATAATTTATGAAACTGTTAAATTTAATTCTTACAGGAGAATCTCGTTTCAACTCCATCAGCAATGTCCGAAGCAACAAAGCAAGAAAAATGCGATCGTCCGCAGGCATTCGGGCTCTTCAGTCCTATACCAATCGAAGAGAAACAATCTCAAGTCACCGACAAAGCCCAACCTAGGGTGTTAAGTCTGGATTCTGGGAATTTCTCTGTAACTTCTAAGCATGACAACTTGCTTACGATCTCTGGTGATGCATTGAAACCTGTTGTAGTGCATGCCACTTCTGATAGCATATCTACCGTGTCGATGCGTGATATTAGCAGTTGGCATAATGGTAAGTGTTCTTTTATATCTATGCTTTTTATTTTGTTATTTAATTGTTTCATATAAAAATACAAACATGTTGGAAATAGACTTAAGTCTAAACTCTTAAGAACTCCTAGTATAAACTCTTGTAGAGTTACAACGAATACTCTAGGGTATTCGGATTATTCGGCCTTTTTGTTTGCTATTCGCACGAATACCTAATATTGACTCACTACTCGGCCGAATTTTTGTTATATACCTACCTACCTACATTACTACTACTAAATATACCGAATGTTGAATACCTAAACAGGAGGAAGAAATAAGAAAAACCCAGTATAATACGAGTCTTTTTAAACGTGGTTTCTGGAACCTTTAGTTTAGGCTAGCACAAACGCTCAAAGACGAGTCACACACTAAGCGTTTCGCTTCCACATTTATATGGCGAATGGCTATGGATTAGAATTCCCTGAACTTGGGTCTTTTTTGGGCCTGAGTGTTGCGTCACTACTGTATACCATAACAATAATTTTCTTAACAGAAACAGATGCCTTAGCCCCCGATAAACATCCTTCTAAGTTGGATTGTGCGTCGCAGTCAATCTGTGCCACGGAACAAAAGTACGCGGCAGACAATCGCTCCGTAGAGACGAGTAATGACAAAATGAAGGAGCTGAACGCTGACTTGGACACCGTGCTGGATAGGTTGCAGCAGATATTGACTAATAATTTTGCTGTTGATGGTAAGATTGCTGTCTAAGGGTTTCTAGATTACGAATGAAATAAATTCTAAATAATAATAAATCTAAATTCTAGAAAATCTATGTTACTTGAAAAGGAAAATAGTTACTTTAAAAGTTACATTTGCGCTTTTTAATTAAAAAATGTAAGTGTAAACAATATATATTTTTGTATACGCCTAAATCCGTAAAAACAAAAAAGTAAAGTTTGCAATTGATTGTTTGATTTTGTTTTGTTTGCGCCATCTCTTAGTTATTGTTTAGTTTGGGTGCGTTCGTAAACTATATTTAGGATTTACAATAACAAATATAATTGAATTTTAAATATCCTAACATTACGAAAGTTGCCTAAAAATCAAAAGTTACACTTACACATTACGTGAGAGTGTCAAGTTATGAAAAATGGAACAATTAACATCTGGCAACACTTGTATGTGTAGTAATAAAACCTCGGACAAGTAAATAAAAAATTAGCTCATTCATAATACGAATATTATGAATGTTCTTCAGACTTAATTTACATTTTATTGGAAACTATGTTGGTAATTTTTATCTTAAATAACCTATTTATACAATTCATACATTTTGATGCTACGATACGGAAATACTATTATGAGTAGCAGCACATACATTGGTAAGTTAGTTTTCCTTTCGGATATTTAGTATATTATTCGGAAGTACAGTTTTTTACTTCGTAGAATTGTGATTTGAACAAGTTTTTGATTGCCTTCAAAAAATACAAACTATGAATAATTTTGTCGGTATATTCTGTGTGTATTTTTCAGCAACTCATTTTTCGAACTCAACTCACAGTTCGCTGCAATTTCGTTTGTTTTTCGGAATCTTTATTATTTCCCATTACGAATAACACATGGGGACCATACTTCTTTTAAAAACAGGTTATCCGTCGAGTTTTTTGCTCGTTATGTTCGTAGTAAAAATACGCAAATTAGTAGCAGATTATAAAAAAAAGAATGACGAAACGAAATGAATTTCAGAACAGCTCCATTATGTAATAACATTGTAGATCTTTTTGCTAGTTTGTTTTTTTATCTGTTCAGTTTTGATTACTTACTTTTTTGTTAAATAATAGAAGCCTCAAATGAGATCTTTGTTAAAAAAACACTTGTCGATGAAACTACTTCTAAGCCAACTGGCTATGCACTACTAGCAGCTTGTTCCAGGTTCTTGTTGTTTGTAATAATTACATTGGCAATCGATTGCACAATGAATCGATATTATAAAATGGGACGTTGAATATTTATTTGACAATTATTTCGAGTCATTTGGTCTCTTTCAAGTAATTTAAATAAATAAATAATAAAAATAACATTCATTGATGCAAAAGAGGATGCATAGGCCATTTGCTTTCGTCATTCTGCTAAACAGCAGTTGCTTGTTCAAAGCTGGATAAATCTAAACGGTCAGTTTTAGCTGTGTGTATTACTTACAAATTTAGTGCGGGCACACATCACAAACAAAACGGTCGACTAACATTCTAATCTATTTATATTTATCGTAATAGCGAGAATGAGCGAACAGAGTATCAGTTGACAGTGCTGGTTTGTGGTATGCGCCCGTAATATCTCTCATCTTTTTGGTGATTCCTGTATTTAGAAGGGGCCATACAACGTTTGATTATGAGACTAATCATCAACGAATAAAATTTAAATCTTAAATTTGCCAAAAAAACCTTGACCCGTCATTTATATGAACAAGGTGCTCATTGCCCGGAAAACGTTGACTAATTAGTACCAACCTTAAAGCTTACTCGTTAAGATTGCTAATGTTCTGTATCTACTTTCAGACTCATGCTTCGACAACACACAACTGCGCGAGACCGCGAACGAGATGGAAGGCCTTCTCGGTACTCTTATAAGGGGAGTCGAACAGAGAGCTACTTTAAATGCGATCAAAGGTTTAGTGTAAGTAGAATAACACTTTAGGGTCGGTACACACTTGTCATACTTTAGCACTGTGTCCATACTGAGCGTGTGCCTTATATATGTGGTATCGTCGATGCGGTTAAACCTGAAGCGTGCATAACGTTTGACGCAGTGCTGTTTTGGAGTAGTGGCATCCAACCCTTAAAAGGATTGTACTTAGCCCACACTAATAAGTCGATATTTTTCAACTACTTAAGTGCCAGGTTAATTACTTTATTCCTAGGTATTTAGTTCACATGTAACAATCAAATGATATGCTATAATCTGTTTTAAAAGTATGTTTTATTGCTATGTTGAACTGGGTACTACAAAGGAAACTGTCATTACCCTAATGGTTTGATTGACTAATAATAGTTCGGCAAACCGACCTAATGCCTGTGATCTTCGATTCCCCTCCCTCTTCGTCTAACTTCAACCCGCTATCGCCCGCCGAGTATTGTTGCCACAGCAATCACATTAATGGCCCATTTACAGTAGGTCGATAGGTCGCCTTCGTTTGCCCGTCGAAGACGGTAAACTTTCTTGTATAGGCACTGGTCGTTTGACGACTGTAGCTCGAGTACGAAGTCGATGAGTCGACCGAACCGCCGCGGCCGCCTTCGGGCACGTGACGGTTTGTCAGTTGGTGGCTGTGTCCCACCACTATGCGGAGGCTAGAGAATCCCTATTTACCCGATCCGTTTGCTGTACGGATGCACGATTTTTTGCTTTGAATTGATTTTCTGGATCTTAATGGATCATTATGCCTCTGAATCGATCCACAGATCGGATCGTGTACCTTTGAATCGATCTCATAAAAATCGGAAATCGTTTAAAAAAGTCTGTTTGTAATAAATAAAACACCTTTTTATATTATAATGATTTAATTGCCATAACATTTTCTTTTCTTTGTAAGCCTTTCTGGTCTCAGTCAGTTACGACTTTAATTTAGAGTGATATGTCAGTGAAAATAGACGTGCAGGTGGCACAGAAGTAGCAACAATCGCCAAATATTGTAGACTTGTCGTACTTAGATGTTTCCGAACTACTTTTCTTGCAAACCAATGTTTGTTTTAAATGGTGAATACGATCTAGACGATGCGATTCGCCTTAACGTTGAATCGATTTTCTTTAAAATCGCAATGAAATGAATCGATACAAGAAATCGCTTGATATACACTTGAATCGATCTTCATAAAAATCGAGTGGTAATATGCATTCCTAGTTTGTTGAACGTTTCGAACGATTTGTTGTTCTCTTTGCGTAAACTTGTATTTTTAATGAGTTGGTGATTTCGGCGAAGACGGCAGTTGTATCGGTGTAAACAACGCGTCGACCGAGCCAACTTTATCAGCCGAGTTCGCTTGCCGAAGATGCGGCAGTCGACCCTATGTAAACATGCCATAACACTGGACATAAGATTTTACTGAAGTTATAAATTATTTGACATTTTAAATATTACTTTGACATATTTTTTATGCTAGCATCATTGTAAGTCAATGGCTAGCATGGACAGCAATGTTGTCAGTTTATTTTTTTGCCACTATTTGTGCCTTTATTCATTTATCATTTCTAATACAGTGTTCGTGTAATTGAAATATTGATTGTTGTCAAGTGTTTGGCTAACTTTAATTTCAAAACCAATAAATTTTGGTCGTAATGTTACGAAATAACATTTTATTTTCGTGTATTTAGTACATATTATTTCTAGTTTCCGCCATTGCAACTAAAGTAATTAGTTGAAAAAGTGCCTAGAATCTCTCGTTGTTACTAATTTATACGAAAGCAATTTATGAATCTCATTTTGTGCTCAATTTTTGTGTGTATTATGTTTGACATTATTTGTTGCTGTAAACTGTGTTCTCTATGACTATGATTTTTTTACCTATTTTAACCTGTGATTTTTATAATTTTGTATTATGTTAATAAAAAATGGAAGTAAATTACTTTAGTGCTCCGCGAATCCAGTGAATTTTTTTTATGCAGTTTTTTTTCCACCCTCCCTAACAACACAAACGCAACTACAATCACAAACACCACCACCAATAATAATATACTCGATACGCGTTTCACCTCTCCACGAGGCGATTTAACCTTCACTGGATTTGCGGAGTAAGAAGTAAACCATAAAGTAACGCCTGAATCCATTAATAAAATTAGTTGTGTTATATGCTTATTAATATTGCTTATGTATAAGGACAGTATTAGGTCGTTTATTTTAAGCATCGAGTTTTAGAAAAAGACGATTATCTGATTTCGGCTTGAGAAGTGTCGTCTCTGTCACTCGTTCCTGAGTAACTAATTAGGTACTGTACCATTGTAGATCTGGCCCCTCCAGATACAATGCTAACACGTATCTCTTTTGCCCATCTGACCAGTTATTTATTACGCTAATTGCCTCAAACTGGCCCAGAAACTCCTCCACATCATTTAGGCCCGTAAATTTCTGTGCCGGCTTCATTTTGTACTTCTCTTTTACAAAAGCACAGTAATAATTTTATAAAAATAAAAATAAAATACAAATTACGACTTTATAGATTTTTTCTTCGGATATTTCTTCCCCCACCTTTCATAGGCTGGCCTCCCACCATTTATAGGACTTCGCGTAGCTCAGGTCGCGTAGCGAGAGGTACTTTATAAATACAAACTGGGGTTATCTTCATAACTAGATATTTATTGTGTATTTCACATATTCACTTATGGAGGCTACTTCTAGATCTTTCAAGATGTTCTTTTTACTATCTTATTTTTTTAAATACATTCCAAACACAAACTTATATTCATTCAGCCAGCATTTCTACTCATAGAGAAGAACCTAGACTACATCCCTCTTCCTCACAACTTAAGTACAATTATTTTGTCAGTTGTATGACGGAAATGGCGCTCTACAAATCCGAAGACAGCCGATAACGGCCGATAGTCTTTTTCTAAACCTCGTTGATGTGATATTTACGTCTAGTTTACGTATAGTATAAGGGTATGGAGGAAAATTAATTGAAAACAGGGCGAATTAAATGACGCGCCTACAGTTGCATTGGATGCTGAAAAGATGAAAATACAGTTTACTACTGTAATAAAATAAAATTGCTATGATTTTTATATCTTCGAGAGAATTTGCTGGCTGGTGTAGTTTTCGCCGTGTTTTTGTTGCTAAAAACACATCTCAACAAATATGTGATTTATTTTCTTATGATTATCCAGCCTATACAGAGTGTTAGGTAATTACTTGCCTGTAAATTTTTAAATTAATTTGTTTGAAGTCGCGGTCAGAAATGAGTTAGATAGACTAGTAATCTCAGTACAGAGTACTAAAAAAACCGATCTCAAAAGTACGTGGAATTACATCTATTTGCCAAGTTTTATTGAAATATTCCCTAGTTCGCTACTATACAGGACTTGACACAGGAGATAATAAAAATCAGTTCTCACTACTCGAAAGTATATTGAGAGAAAAACGCCTTGAATTGGAAAATAGTAAAGTGGTACACATAGTAAAACGATCCCTCAAACTTTACCACAATTTACCAGACTTGGATTAATTTGATTAAAAAAGCGTTAACCCGTCATTCGTCCTTGGGCCACACGGTGTCCCTAACGATTTTGTTAATTTTTTAATGTATTTTTTTTAATAATGGCTGAAAAACAGGTGCGAGTCAGAGAGAGACACTGTCTGTCTCTATCTACAAATTTTCTTGGATGATCCCTGTGACACTTCACAAAATTCTACATAATATAACCTTGTAACGACGTCTACTAATTTACGTATTTTATAGACTATTTTTATAAGTCTCGCTTAAGTGAATAACTTTTGTCTAAGCAAATACATAAAATTAAAGTAAAAGTAACACCAAATTAGTGAGAAATGAGAAGAGAAACATTTTTTTTTCAAATATTTATTTATTTTTACGGCAACGTACAAAGGTTACTTCATTAGACTGCATTTACTAGAGATGAGGTATATCGATAAAAAGTTTTCGATAATTTAACGAATATATATATATAACGTCGGGGATAGTGAAAATCCGCGTATGTAGTATTGTAAAAGGCGCGTATATGTGCACCAAACCAAATTTCCCACAAGACTGATTTAACGTTATTACTTTGTTATTTCAATGGCTACGACTTTTATTTTTGCATAGTAAGCATTAATTTATGTTGTCTGTGGACTGATTACAATAGATTCCCCTAAATCACGCTAATTTGGTTGCTGATTGTTGATTGTTCACCTATCGCTGGCGATGGCTATTGAATCGTAAACAGAGTGCATTTACATTTAATTTATTTCTTCTCCGGTACCTACTCCATAGAAATGTCGGATCGAATGTCAAAAATAAAATAAATATTATTTATATACAATTCATGGGAGTTCATTATTTTAAAAACACAATTGTTATGTTTTTTAAATCCGTAATATTATACAAGGTTGTATAAGAGAGGACCTTTGCTTCAAAAATCTATATATCGACTTTACCTCATCCCTATGAAAACGTCAAATGAAGTGTCACAGGGATCATCCTATAAAATTTGTAGTATAGTAGGTACGCGTGACGAGTTAAATAAATTGTTAATTTTTTGATTGATTTTCCTATAAAACCTTATTCTGGCTGCGATACCAAACCACCCCCTTTTCTAGGTAACTCCAAAACATCTGAATCATACTGAAGAAGAGGCGTGTGCTATAGGTATTAATACACAAACCTATACTTGACTCGTGTTCAGTCTGTTTGACATATGTATTTGGCGTGACATCAAACATTAGTTGTAAGGAATAACCGTCCTTTTGATAAGGTGCTTTCGACTTTAAAAATTTAGTTATAGAGTAACTTTTAAGTTGTACATTTAGAATATTCAATAAAATCTTGTAAAGGTCTCCTTTTTAACTTTTCGTGTATGTGAAAACTAACGTTATACTATTCTGTTACGTTAGGCCCAATATAAACGATGCACAGTTAAGGTAAAGGCTGACTCTCTTATTTTTAATCATTACCGTTACATAATCATCTACTGCGTTTTTGCACGCTATTCTCTTCGGCCCCGAGGCACCCAGAACCACCGTTTGACTCATAAATTTAGCATCTAATCTATGGTCTGACTGATATAACCGCAACTTCCTTCGACTAACGTGATTATGACTACTTTTCATGAAAAATTCAACTATTAAAAAATTCAAATATATTTATGATAATAAATATTTTGTTTCAAAATAACTACGTCAAAAAACCGCAATGTTCCGCTGTGCTCGAAACTAGTTGCGGTTTCTAACACGCATTTCCCATTAAGCGACGGCTAGTGGACTCGTTATTTATTCAAATAAAATAAGTCATTCATTACACTATACCCATTAACGCGGCCGTGATTTGAAGTAAAAATTAGCCTCTATGACGTCACCCGCGACTAGTTGTTTAGTGAAAAATGGTACTAATGATTACTGTGGGTAATATCTTAATATAAAAAAATTCAAACAGTGGAAATTTTTGCGGAAAAATTCCCGAGAACTCCTGAAAAATTGGAAAACTGTGATTTCGAAGGATATTTATTTATGTTCCATGCTTAGAAATATTATTATCTTTTGAAGTTTTAGTTAGCGTGAATTATAAATATAAAATAAACTGGTATAGCGAAAATTTCACAACATTGAAAAAAAAAACCTTTTTATTATCAAGTTAAGAAAGCAAAGAATTTTAAACGATTAATAACTTTTTCGAGGGGTTAAGAATCTCAAACGATCAATCAATTTTTCGGGAGGCAAAGAATCTCAAACGATTGTCTGTCGTCTACATAGGGTCTAATATTAAAAAAAGTTGATTTAAGGAATCAAAACAGAATTTTAGAAAAGTAACATGCCATATATTTTATAAAATTTACATATTGCCGTGTTTATTAAATAAAAAATACAATATAAATAAAAAAAATATAATGTATCTCTTAGTTCTAAGTTTTATAGTTAATTTAATATAAATTGCTGCATTTCATTTTGTGCGTTCTATAAGATATAGGGATAATAAAATATAGCAATCTATTTTAAGATTGTTATTAAGTAAGCGTAGAATACTAAGTATAACCACTCCGTATCAAACGTTTGTTTGGTCTCGGTATGATCCTTACACAGCAAGGCTATAGCCAGGCTATCCTTTACTTAGGCGATGTCAACCTTAACTGGTCGTCGTTGTAATAAACGCAGAAACCCTTAAAAGTGATTTACGCGTCGCAACGTTTGATACAATGGTCTCTATTGAATGAACACTGGTTGTGACAGTTTTATTATGTACCTGTAAATTGGTTCTGTCATCTAAAACTTATAGTAATACCCTAGATTTATACAAAGTAATATTAAAAAGCAATCAGATTGCCGAAGCACAACATTTTTTCAAATTTTTATAATTTTAATTATATTTTTTTATGATTCAAAATGTCCGATAACATTTACAATGTGACAATGAATTGTATAATTAGCGTATTATCATCAATAAACGAATATTTCCAATGGACGGATTGTTATTAATACTAACATTAAGATTAAAATTATGTACTTATCTACATTTGGGTATAACTTCTTTTTTTTTTATAAAATACACGTACAGTCGATGCCCTACAATACCAGGGGCCTTAGTGTAAGTTTTCAAATATATAAACTCAACTATCGCGTTTGCGTTAAGTTTTAATTTAAACCTTATAAATATATAAATTAAGTTCTAAATAAAAATCTTAACGCAAAAGCGGTAGTTACACATTTACGCTCAGGCCTCTGATTCTGTACCGACTATTTGATTCTGAGTCAATAAGTGTGAAGAAAAATGTTAAACAAACTTAATCTTTAACAAGTGAGCCGTAAAATTCATTTTAGTGTGACTTCCTTATTGCATCGTTAGTGAATTATTATTTAAGACATTTTTAGGCCAAATTGGTCTTTAACGTATTTTATACTGAATTCAATACAGAATACAGTTTTCAACCATAAACGCACTACAAGACTCAAGTATTTTAGGGCATCGACTGTATCTAAAAGATTTTGGTTTGTCCATCTGCAAAGTTCCCTTGCATTATTCCCCTGCATAACTTTCAACAGCGTGATTATTGTACTAGAGTAAAATATTACAGGGGTAATAGATGGATTCACCGATATTAATTGTTATGGTATAAAACAAAGAAGGATGTTTTTTCCTTATTTATCTCATGAAACATTTCGTATTTCTTTATGGATAGAACAGTGAAAAATATTACCGTCTCTCTCTCCTTATTTAAAGTTATTGTAGGTTCAATATTTTATCATAAATGTCTGATGCATAATCTTAATGCATAGTAGTCTAAGAATATGAAATAGCACTACATTTTATACATTGAACAAGATAATAAGGCTGAGGTTTATGAAATGAATTTTGATTTCGATTAAACAAAAATGGCGAGCTTAGTAAGTTTTTTATTTTATTGACAAAACGTAGTTTGTCAAAGTTTAAGCAAGAAATTCCGAAGTGCGAACTAACCTCAAAGTTTAATTTCATTTATTTAGATAGACCGTGCACATACACAGAGAAACTTGCACAGTTTTGTCATATAAATTTGTAAGTTATACCCACAGAACAATAAATACAAGTTATACTATTACAGGCGTATAATAATTACGCAAGAAAACATCGAAATTTTAATTTAAAAAGTAAATAAAAATAGTATATAGAAAGAAAAAAGAAAAAGGTACTATCCAAGAGATTATCGAACTAGATTTCAGCAGTTAGCCTTAGAGCAGTTGTCATATTCCCCTTGAATTTAATTTCCTTTATTTTTTACCATCCTTTAAGAAGAAAACTGGGCACATTAGTTACGCGCTGGATTTATTGCTTATATAGGTAGGTATAAGTTCGTTTTGTAAATACGAAAAACTTGCTTAGTTCATCATTTTTGCTTAGCCAAAGTCAAATTTCATTTTATCAAACTCTGCTTAATAAAAGAGGATTATATTTAAACTTAACTGAATTACGGAAGTCCCGAAGAACGAGATTTATTTAATTTTTTCATAGATAACAGAATTAACATTATTCCGTCTCTAATTTCGATGTTAATATTTTTTATTTATATGAAGTTTTTGATGAAAAAAATGATGCCCAAAATGGTTTAACGTTTTTTTTAAATTAAATTTTAAATAAGTTTTCAATAATGTAGGTTTCCGTTCCTACGTTAATCAAGTGTCAGTTTCTCTTACTGCTGTTAATAAGGTACTTGCAACAGTGAGTCAGAAGATGTTTTTCTTTCTCCGTGGAGCCATTTTGATGAATCGCCGTAGGACCACCTCGTTCGCGAGTGTAGATGTCCAACCCGTATTGACCTATAAAGAAGAATGTTGAAGTTGAGATAAATGCTTCTTTGTAATTGGGTTAGTTTTTTTGGCATGGAAGTTGTTTGGTATTGTGTGGTTCCACTGGCAATTTTTCAAATAACTAACCTTCTTCAGGGAAAGTTATATAAAACGACACGATGTCATCAGATACATTCTGTTGCACGTATTTGGAGAGGCGTTTCTCGTCGACGCCGTTCTTGTGCAGCGTGGCCATAAAGTCCGCCAGCGGCCGTGACATGCGGAACTGGATCTCTAGCTCGCGTCCTGCGAAGACTAGGGCCTCCTGTAAGTAATTAGAAAATTGAGTGTATTAGTATTAGGGGTTAAAGTATGAAATTGCCGTTTTATTGCAATAGGTTCTTTGAATTTTCATAGAATCTTCATGGTTTGAGGTTTTCAAATGAAACTTTTTTCAAATGGTTTCTGTGATTTTTTTTTTTTTAAATTTGAAACATTTGAATATCGACTTTCAATTGTTTTTGTTATTCAATTTAGACAAGAAAGATAGATACTGCGAAAATTCGAGTGATTTTTGAATACGAGTTCCGACGCGGAACTAACGCGGCAGAAACAGCCCGCAATATCAATGCTGCGTTTGGAGAGGGGTCTACTAATGAACGCACCGTGCGATTTTGGTTTAAACGCTTTCGTGATGGAAATTTCGACTTAAAGAACGAGCCACGAGGAGACCGCCCACACAGGTGAATAACGATGAATTAAGAGAGATAGTGGAAGCCGATCCTAGTCAAACTACCCAGGAATTAGCGGCATGGTTTAACGTTACCTTACCCACAATATTGACTCACTTGCGTCAAATCAATAAAATAAAAAAATACGAAAAATGGGTGCCTCATGATTTGACTGATCTGCAGAAAGAAACGCGTGTTGAAACTTGTGTTGCCTTGTTGAACCGGTACAGAAATGAAGGAATATTGGATCGAATTGTAACATGTGATGAAAAGTGGATTCTTTATGATAACCGGAAAAGAAAAATGCAATGGCTGACCCCAGGTCAAATGCCACAACAGTGTCCTAAAGCAAAACTTACCAATAAAAAGGTAATGGTAACTGTTTGGTGGTCTCAGCATGGTGTTATTCACTATAGTTTTCTCCGATCTGGTCAAGCAATAACGGCAGATGTCTATTGTGCTGAACTCCGAACCATGTTGACAAAACTAGCAGTAAAACAGCCCCGACTCATGAATCGATCTTCACCATTATTGCTCCACGACAACGCGAGACCTCACACAGCACGAGAAACCATTTTGACCCTTCAGGAACTGCAGTTAGAAACCATTCGTCATCCTCCGTATTCACCAGACCTTGCTCCAACGGACTACCATTTTTTTCGTGATTTGGACAATTATCTACGTGACAAGAAGTTTTCTTCCCAGGAGGCAGTACAAAATGCTTTCACACAGTTTGTGCAGTCTCGATCGTCGGAGTTCTATCGCAAAGGCATTGATAACCTTCCCATTAGATGGCAGCAATGTATAGATAATAATGGCAACTATTTTGATTAAATAAATTTGTTAAAAATTTAAAAAATAAACAATTTAGATTTTCAGTACAAATCGGCAATTTCATACTTTAACCCCTATTATTAATTAAATTTTTATTGAATTGATATTCAATTATTTTTTGTGAAATTACTCCACTAGTTTATTATAATTATTAATACTTAGTGGCTTGATATAGCGTCTAGCACGGTATGCAAGAAGACGTCGGTTCGAATCCGACCGGATCGAAGGAATTTTTTCTGAGTGTTCGATCTTTGTATTAATAATTGTATTAGTATTTTTCGGTTGCGAGTTTGTCTCAACTATAAGAATCACGTTTGAACTAGATTTTATTAAACTATGTAGTTCAGTTTTTTTAGGCGCTTCGCAGAGCTTGGATGGATCCTATGGCCCAATTTATATCGGGTATATAGTACAATGAACTTTATGGTCAATTGTGTAATGTACAAACTAGATACGAGCCAAAATCTTCCGCGTAATCCTTGCGCAGGCTCGAGAATGCTCGCGCAGACCATAAAGTTAATTATTCTATATACAATAGGTATAGTTACAAAAATTCGCTTCCATTCCGTTCCGCCGCGATATAAATTGAGCCTATGGGTGATGACGATGATCCTAAAGACTGTTCGAATCTGTGTGGCAGTATGTAGTTATAGTCAGGGATAAGAGAAACATACTTTATTTTGAGTCAAATGTATTGAGCTCTTAGAACAGATAGTTTCATAAGAATTTTGAAATACATTAAACTTGCCACTGTTTATCAGCTTTACATGATTTAACAATCGTTACGCTAGATTTATATAAATACTTACGATGTATTTGCCGAAAACATGCAAGTTGTGCTAACGTTTCTCTTGCCCCAAAAGATGGAGTAAGACGAACAGTCGTCGTATTTCATAAAAAGGTAAGTTATACCTCGTGAACACGAGAAACTCTTGAGAACTCAAGATTTCACAACTGTCAAATTTGTTTTTCCGCCTTTTGGATTTGGAACATCGTAGCGACATCTCTTTAAAATCGTTTAAACTATAAGATTTGTTTGTCGACTGTTTTATCGATTTGTTTTATCGACTGAGGGACTATAATGCTAAACTAAGGCTTCAAGTCTCTCTTCCCCCTGTGTTTCTACCCATTCTGACTATAAGACTAAGACTTTAATTTCTAACATATGTATAGTAATGCCTCTCGCTAACGGTGAAGAAACAAGCACTAAATAAATTAAACCATGTTTTTTTAATGGAAATTTAATGCGTTACTTCTTTTTTATCATGCACAGAAAACTTGAAGTGAAATTTACCTGGTGGGTAATGGGTACAAGGCCAAACAATCTAGTGGCCTTCGTAGGTCCCCACTCTCCACTCGCACAATCTGGCAAGGGAACCATCACAGTCTGCAGCTCTGCACAGCAAATCTTGAATTTGCATACGCTTTTAAATTTCATTGGTTCTCCAGTGAGGTATTCTCTGGGAGTAACTGCGTTCGCGAAGATATCCAGAAGGAACGCCCCGCTGCAAGGTGCGTGGACCCTGAATGAGACCACGTTGCCGACTACAGACTGTAAAGGAAGCATATACATATATGAAGCTCCATTTTGTCAAATGCAAAATTGAAAATTACTGTGAACACTGGACGTTAGGAGTCGATACTACTGAGGTAGTTCGAATTCAAATGTTTCCCGTACTGAATCGGTTCTATTGCGCGGGTCGAGCGGGCACTGGCTTTATTTGAGAATTTACTTTTTTACGTACGATATTAAAGCAATTTGAAAAATTATATCGTATACTATTCGTGTCCTATTTAGTTCAGTTGATATAAAAAAAATAATTAGTATATATAAAGTACGTATTGAATATAGCGGTTTTCTTGTAAAATTTCGAGGTAAGTTTGAGTTTTTTTCTATCTTGAAAATTTTTAGAAATCGTGTTTTCACTCCGTATACTAATCATTGTATATCATCAATTACTATATATTCTTACCAAAGTGATTGATTCACCACTCTTACTGTTGTGCGGAATCAACTAAAGCCATTTGAGGTTGTGTTAATTCTTAAGAATTATACACAGCAGTGGCCTTGGCTGCTGATCTCTTACAAGCCAGGACGTTTTTGATAACTCTCATCGCGATAGAGAAAATTATTGCCAGATAAACTACACTATGTCAATAAAAAAGTGTGCTAATATCAAGAACAAAACATTAAAATTTGTACCTGCATAACAAACCGTTTGAGGCTGACTCCATCGAAACCATCTCCTTCGGTGTCGTAAAACTTAAGATTGTAGTGGAAGATGAGCGAGCTCTGCATGTGTGCCGGCATGGCTATGCGCATAGTCGCCGCACCTGCAAACGGTAATATTGGTATATTGCGTCAATACGTGTGAAGGTTAAAACATGTTACATTACGTAACTACTCAACGGAAGAAAATCAATTCAACAAAAAACATTGTAACTTTGGAATATCTTCTTCGGGTGCTGAGCAAATCTGTAATAGGTACAACTCTATTTTGATAGCTTCTATAGGCACACTTTTCTTTTGCTTACCTGTGGAGTCAGTATACATAACAGCTTTAGTATTCGGGTCGCTAAAGTACAACCCATATCTGAAGAACAATGATCGCACAAATGGCAGCTCTTCGAAGTCGTGAAGTGTGATCGGCGTTTTCAGAAGTTGCCAGTCGGGCTGGAGAGGGAAGAATTCGTAGATGAACTCACGAGGGTCTGTCAGGAAGTAGTGATCGTCGTATTCGTATCTGGAATTTTTAGATGAAAAACGCAATAAGTGTAATGAAATTATAAGATCTACCTGTTGTCTTTGGACAATGAACCTAAGTTAATAAAATAAATATGATAACGAATTGCTTAAAAGCACATCTGTCGGTGGCTGTGACGTCGTCTAAAATGGAGTACCACAAAGATCGGTTCTTGGCCTACTAACAATCAACGGAAATACCCAAATTTGTGGTTCACCTAGTGAGTTCCCACACTACGGGTCGTATTCTAGAACTCTACTCAATGCTCAGTCAGGACTTGAGTATGATTCAAAGCACTAGAAATCATACTCAAGTCCTTGCCATTAGGGTCGTATTTCCAGTGCTTGGAATCATACTCGAGTCTGCTCAAATCCTGACTTGAGCATTGAGTAGAGTTCTGGAATACGACCCTACGTTTTCCTTCCAGATCGTATTAACTTACCTCAAACTATCGCTTTTTCCTCTATTCCCGGGTTTTGGTGCATCCTTAGCATTCACCAAATGCCGTGCGCCCCAGTTGCACTGTACGAATCTCCACGCTCCGGCGACGTACACTGCGTTCCACGAATTACGGAAGCGGTTGTCTTCGAAACGGACTCCTGGTTGGTAGCCCGCTGATTTACTGTAGCCTTTGATCACCACGCAGTGAAGGCCAGCGTAACTATACGATAAAAAGAATATAATTAGAATTTTTGAATTCTTTCCTATGATGCCACACCTTCGAACGATGATGATGTTTTTAGGAATAATAATTGTGTAAGTTTCCTAAATAGGGTCAAGTAAAGCTGTGATATTTGCATATAATGTCTATATTGTAATCACGCTGGAAATGGTTACTTTTAAGGTTTGGTCGAAACAGTTTCCAAGTGTTAGAGATACTGTTTATTAATAATTATGAATCCCTTAGAAAGAGCATCCTAGAATCAACATTGAAGTATGATCGATTTAAAGTTAAGTTGATAGTAGGTACAGAAAAAGTTGGCAAACAAATAAATTATTTTCTTACCTGCACAATCTCTTAAACAGTACATGGTAACTTTCTGTGCCGTGCTTGATGCCTCTCAATAAGCCAAGAGGCGAGTCACCTCTCAGGTTGTCGTCGAACTGAATGTTATTCAGGTTCTTCACAGTGATCCAGCGGAATATGGTCCTCGCCTTCTCCACGTCTGTAGCACATCGCCCGACTAGTTGCCGAACAAGATCTGTGAAGGTCTTTTGGTCTTCTTGTGCCACCTGCAACATAAAGTGAAAATAATAAAAACGTGGAAGTATGCAGTAGTAGAAGTCAATTGTTAGATGTTTTAATTTACGTAGATTGGGTGTAGTACTGCTAGTAGTAGTACTACTTATTGGGTGTAGTCCATTGAGGAGCAACCTCAGTGCTTATTTTTAACGAAGTTATAAGTTTGAAAATTTTGTCTGCGTGTTTGCCATCGTAGTTTACCATCGTAATCGTCATCGTTCATCGTAAAGGATGAGTCGATTTCAAAGCAGTTTTTATTTGTAAGGATAATTTTAATATTTATGGGCCTAAGCTATGATGTTTGATGAACATATAGACAGGCGTTTAAAGATCTGATTATCTTTGAACAGCCGTCCATATGTTCATCTCATCTGAGATCCCTACTCAGCTGCCTACACTAACTGCGAAAAGAACTCCCTACACTAAAAGAGATCCCTACACTAACTGAGAAAAGAGCCGATGCTCTTTTCTTAGTTAGTGTAGGGTGCCTATTCTCTTTTCTCAGATAGAGTAGGAAGTTGATGCTCTTTTCTCAGTTAGTGTAGGGATCTCTTTTAGTGTAGAGAGATCTTTTTTCAGTCAGTGTAGGAAGCTGATGGTCTTTTCTCAGATAGTGTAGAGATGTCTTTTAGTGCAGGGAGTTCTTTTCTCAGTTAGTGTAGGGATCTCTTTTAGTGTAGAGAGATCTTTTTTCAGTTAGTGTAGGGAGCTGATGCTCTTTTCTAAGTTAGTGTAGGGACCTCTTTTAATGTAGGGAGTTCTTTTCTCAGTTAGTGTAGGGAGCTGATGCTTTTTTCTCAGTCAGTGTATGGAAATCAGTTATGAAATAAATATTTACTTTATTTCCATTTCTTCAATTGACTTGAAATTTTGTATATAACCTTGATCTTATGCTGCACCCAGTACAGTTTGTAAACTACCGAACTCTTCAACTACTTACAGTAGAATTATCGTGTTTGGGCTCATTAAATTGGTCTCGACTAGTTGTTAACTTACGGATGGTGATCAATGACTTCGTTGACATTTTAGAGAACAACGTTAGTTATGTAACGGAGGTGTTCAAATTTTAATTTACTAACCGATATCGCAATTTTGTCGACATCAGCGAATTCAATAGGGTCTGTATAGATATGGAACTTGGATATGAGCGGGGGTTGTGGTGGTGGGGCTCGAGCTGGATAAGGAGGCGCCTCTTCGCCATCCAAGTATAGTGATGACTCAGCCATGTACTCTGATCTGCGTTCTTGGATCAGCTCCATCATTTCGTGGCTTTGCTTTTCGACTAGAGCCGCTGTTGCTGCCCTGTAAGAAATAAGAACGTACGTAAGAAGAAACAAATTAGAACTGGGATTATAACAGTGCTTCTGTCATAAATTAATTGATATGTTTCAAGGTATTAACTGCCTCCGTGGCCGAACTGTTACCATGCTGGATTGCCACGCAGAGGTCCCAGGTTCAATTCCCGAAACGGGAGGAATATTTGTATGGCCTACATTTATTTCTCTCGTGAGTTTGGGTGTAATTTGTGGTTGTCTATATGTGTGTCCATGGCACCCGCGACACAGGGTTTCCCTAGTGCGGGGCTATGTTGAGTGTGTGCGTTATTTATTTATTTCTCTCGTGAGTTTGGGTGTAATTTGTGGTTGTCTATGTGTGTGTGTCAATGGCACCCGCGACACAGGGTTTCCCTAGTGCAGGTGTAGAATGTGTGCGTTATTGTGCGTTATTTTACAGAAGGAAATGAGAAGAAAGCTCTCGCTAGATTTACGTCAGTCTTATTCTAGTTCAACTTTTGTGATTCGTTATTTTCGTTACTTAGAGAAAAGCATGCCTTCAAGATAAATACGGTAAAATTCTATTCTTGTTTTTGATTAGGTTTAGTCGTTGTGTAGGTATTTTTTTATATGTTAAGTATTTAAAACCACCTATCTACCTCCGCTCAGGTTCCAGCTAAAAACAAACTAGGATATCTACTACTATCTATAAACTAGTTTAGGATATCGTTTTCTCAAATACTGTAATTTATTTTCTAATTTAAAGTAAAAAAAAAAATTGACTACTTAAGGCTCGCCACCATCCCCGTTGGTGTGCCGCCCGGGGCCATGGCCTCCTCTGCAACCAGACTGCAACGTGGGCGCTATGCCACTATAGTTGAAGAGCAATTAATCTTAATCAAGTGTCACTTCAACTTTAAATTTATTATAAGCGTTTAAACTGTTACCACTGTTGTTACACTATTTGTCTCTTGTTAAATCCATACGTAACCTGCTGTAAAAATAAGTTATCTAATAGTTTGTGGTCCAATTAGGCTCGGACTTGCAAATTGTATTTATGATTTAGATACATAAATTACACACTTTTTTATTTTGAATACGGAACCGGATATAATTATCGAAATTGTCATAGACAGTTGCATAATTTGAGACTGTGCCTCTAGGTACTATGAGTTTACAGCGCCTTTTTCTAGCAACCGCATGAAATATTTGACAATTTCGTATAGCAAATTGTACAGCCCCGAGGCGGGCCCGGGCGCTATACAATGACCATGAGGAGAGGCAAAATTGTCTATTATTTTTTATGATATCAAGTGGACGCAATTAAGCAAAAAAAGATCCAATCCATAAAATTATCAAAAAATGAGTTACATGTACCAAACGGTTCCTAAAGTCTAACCTCTTAGATCAGCAAAAAATCCAACATATAAACATAAACAAATATCTCTGGAGTTACATGACATTATAAGTTTTAAAAATAAAACAAGCGTGAGAAACCTTTTTAAACTTCAAACTGCCATATCTTCAAAGTGAGTGGATGTGGATTGGATCCTTTTTGGTTAACTACGTCCAAGTGTCATTTAGTAGCAGTTGAGCTCGTTGTTAGTCCAGGGAAGTACTGCTACCTTACCCATTTCTGCCGCCAAGTAGTAATGCGAGCATTGCTACTGTCCGGTTTTGAAGGGTAAGGGTGCTGGTGGAATTATGGGTACATGGGACTTGTCAACTTGTGTCTCAGTGTGACGGGCGCAGTGGCATTGCCCCTCGCATCTTTGCTATTTAAATCTCGGAGTATCACGATAACTGTTGTCACGTGGTACCAAAAAAAAAACTGACGGGACGAACAAGTCGTGCCTGTGTGCCTGGTAGTAAATTTATCTATGTTTTCTATATTATCAAAGTTCATATTTCTACGATGTTTTACTACATTATTTTCAGTGTTCTTTCATTTAGATATTTTTCTGCTAACACTTAACGTCTCGCCCAAGACAAGCGTGCTCACTTTCCGAACTTTTGTAAATAATTTCTAAAAGAACACCGGTTATTACTATTTCCTTGTTGATTGTATAAGTTTTTTTATAAGTTTCCAGTGTCGCACCGCTTTCTCGAGTTGCCAATTCTTTGCTCAGAGTTTAAGACTATCTAGTTATTGTAGAAATAAGATTAATAAAATTGTATATAATTACACGCTAACTTATTCGAAGTCAAGTAAACCAATTTTAGCTTTGCACGTGGTTTTTAATTATGAAGAGACCGAACAGCTTCTTTTAACGCTATGTTAATTTATAAACATATAGCATCATAGTCCTGTTGTAAGCACAACATTTTCACCTCTTCATAAATGTTTAAAAATGTTTATGCCATGATTTGGAGAATCTCCTCCTAAATCACAGGTCTAATACCTACTTTAGGGATTGGAAACTCATATTTGTAAACATGTACATATTGACTTATGTTTTCACGATTGTTACACATTTAAAACGGGTGTATTTGTTTTTTTTTGTCACCCATGACTGAGAGTCACTTGTGGGTCGTGATCATGGGATCAGTAAAGGGCCCGAAACGTTGGTTTGTTCGAAAAACCAAATATACGCTTTTTAGATCTGAAAAGTAGTGTCATTTCCGATGTGGTACATCTTTAAATACACCTTATATTTTCGGTACTAAATGAACCAAGCATATAATAAATGTTTCATGGATCAAAAACTAATATCCAATTTAGAAACTGGTATTCTTAACGCCATTTCCATATGTCCTTGTTGAACAATTGAATATGTAAAGCCGGGGAATACTTTTTCTTCAGTGATAACAATATTTTGTTATCATTATATTGTAGCCTTTAAAAATAAAAATACAGGGTGGCTCGTAATATATGTCTGGCAGTATATTTGTAACATTTTGTGTAACCTGCATAATTGTGAAAATACTTTATAAAATCTAATTAATATTTTATAAAATCTTTAAGTAAGCGATTCACCATAACAGCTGCAGTGCCGTTCAAAGTTTTAAATTAATTAATTCTTTTTTTAAGTTAGACAATATCACTCACGTTGTTCCGATTGGAGAGTAAGTAACTAAAGCACTTGTGTTATTGAAATCGGTAACAACGACGGTACCACAAACACCCAGACCCGAGATAATATAGAAAAGGTTTCTACATTGAGCCAGCGGGGTTCGAACCCGGGATTTCAGAGATGGCCACGGAGGTAGTCAATAAGTTTACACAAATCAATATCAGTGTTATTATTAAATTTGTAATTTTTTACCTTTCATGCTCAAGCATCTTTCTGGTTAGGCTCTCTTTCTTCTTATCTCGTCGTAAGGTCATATTTTTCTCTAAATCAGCCCTCTCCTGTTGGTGCCGTAACGTCAAGGCGCCGATCTCTGATTCTGGTCTTCGTTTCTTCACCTGCATCTCTTGTTGGAATCTGTTTGTCAGCCTTTCCAGTTCTCGTTCCCATTCATCCTGGAAAATAAGTAAAAAACCTTTGGTAAAAATATCAAGCCAAAACGACCGATTTTGTGTGTTGTGTGTGCGTATGCGTAGGTGCGCGTGAGCGCGTGTGCGCGGATCGGACTTATGTAGGTATGTATTATACACGGTGTTCCACGGGTATGCGAAACGGAAGGAAAGTACTTTAAATTCATATCGGTGCAAACCTATTGCGAATCGTTTTCACCTGCAGTCTGTAGATGGCATTAACTCAAAAAGTATACAGCGCCCTACGTGTCCAATATAGCAATGCCTTCAGCATGCTGTTGGCGCTGCCGTGCAACTGCAGCGCATCAGCAATGTTCGCAGAAGCACATACGGATAGATGGCTTCCAATCCATAATAATAAGAAAGCGACAAGCCTCCTTGATGCAGCGGGTGCGCAGCAGCACAAACAACCTTCTGACCATAGTAGTGGCCAAAGTTGATGGTCCGTTTATTAACTTACTTGTGGTGCCCTCTAAATGGGTCGCCAATCAAATATAATATAATGTCCCTACTAACATAGTTTATGAGTTTGTTACTAACTAAATATGAATCAGGTCCGAAATAAATGCTTATTATTATTATTATATTGTAGATACTTTGCTTCCTAGAGACATTTATTATTTTGAAAAGTAAGTACAATCGAATATTTTTAAAAGTTGCTTGCCTCACTTGGGAATGGAACCGACTAAAAGTAAAAAAAAAACCAACCTATATTTTTATGATGTCGATCGAAAAGGTCATTTATAACAATTAATTCCTTTTAGTAATACAGTATTTAAGGCAATTTGTACGAATACCTAGTCCTAGGTATTTTATTTTAACTTAAATATGTCGCTGATCGCGCACATTACATATTTTACCTCAACCGAACATTGTACTCTGGGAAACATACAAATCCATTAAACGTAAATTACATTAATACAAACATTCTACATACATACATTTGGCTACGTGTCCTTGAACAATTGGTATTGGTATAGTTCATAAATATTTTAATAGGTTATAATACTTGTTTTTGTGTTCTAGTAAGTGTTATAGGCAAAAGAGTAACTTTAACTTACTTGTATCTCCTCTCGTATTCTTTTATTTTCTTCTTCTCGATGCTTCGAGAATTTTCTGTACAAGTCATCTTCTTCCTGTCGGTGCTTCATCTCTAGCTTCGTTTGTTCATCTCGATCCTGGGGACAAAACATAAAATCTATCAAATTACTATTGAGAATCTATTAATGAAATATTCTTTAGTGTATTTTAATAAGTATGATTACTATAAAAAACGGTTACTTTTTATGAGACCAAGTAACGAGACCGATACATCTACCCTTAATATATTATGGGTAGATAAAGAGCTTTAAATCGCAAAGCCTTGGGGGGCACTGCCAATGCGCCCGTCGCCCTGAGATAAAGTTGACAAGTCACATGCTTGTAATTTCACCAACATTCTTACCCTTCAAAACCTGAACAGAGTGATGCTCACATTACTGCATGGCGATAAAAATAGGTATGTTGGCAGGTCTTTCCTGGATGGACAGCAAGAATTCTGCCAACATTCTCTAGCAAATTTCATTCTAGACTTAAATATCCATTTGTAGCTTTCGCTAATTCGGATACCGGCAGTGTATTACATTCCTATGCCTTACATGCGTAAGGCAGGAAGGATGCAGCAAAGCGCTTCGTGCGAAAGAGTGGTATGTCAACGACATAAGGATGGAGTGTTCCGAACTGGAGTAACTCTAATAGACCGGAGGGAGAACGATGAAGGTGAAACTAAATTGTGAAGTTCCTGCGCACTCTCTCCGAAATGTGTCCTATAGAAAACCGACAAGTAGGCCATTTTTCCGCGGTGATTAAGACTTAGAAGCTACTACTCCACGAGAGAGTTGTTGGCGCTGTTGCGTCAAGGTGTGCTTGATAATTCACTATGTAGCAAATTTTCAAAAAGATTCTGCTTGTATTGGTTTCTGTTTAACATTTGAAAAGGAGAATAAAAGTGTTTAAACACTAATAGGTAGTGTATTAAACAATAATATTGCATAATCTCGCAATTCTACACATTTTTAGGTTCTTTTGTCATCAATTTGTACTTTTGTTTGAAATATAGGTACTTCTCATGCTCTAAAAGTTCGTCATTATAGCCTACGTAGCGAGCGTCGAGTGCAACATTTAACCCATAGGGAATAAAACGTATCTACCTAGTTTTATAATTTATTTCGAGTGACCTAGACAAACTCAAACATCCAGTAGGTACTTGCTTTAGTGGCAGAAGCCAAAAATACTACACCCGGTTTTAATTCCGTGCCTTTTCCGCATAGACGGCAGCGCCATATTATTTCTTTGCGTAACGCATTGACTTACAAATAAGTCAATGGCGTAACGCTAAGAATTCACGGAGCGATTTTCAGGCGCGCCCGCCGTGGTTGCGAGACCGCGACAGTACAATTTAGATATGTATGTAAATTTGAGTAGCACATTTCACGACGCGTTTTACGCCCGTGGCGGGGAGCCGCAGCGTCTGCGGGGTACTAGTAGAACCGCCCGGGATGCGGTCACCCGCGCGCTTGGCGATCGACGCCCGCGCACTCTGCGGTCGGTTCGCCCGCGACGATCTCTAGCGTTCGCAAATAACCACGCGACTGGCGATCATCTCCCGCCAAGTTTGTCCCGCTACCGCGGCGACACTACGTGACCGCACAAACCTGCGGTATCGTGAGTACTGAAATGAAACGGATGTCCCGCAGCCGCAGCGGGCGCGGGTGGAAACCGCTCCGTGAGTTCTTAACCTTAGTACGTTTGTGTATGGACCATTTTAGTGATACGACGTAGCACTTAAATCGTTTTTCGTACTTAATTGACTATTTTTTCTCGCAATCAAAGCGAAAAGTAAAGTTTTCACCTTAGAACTAAAAGCCAATATAAACCCTCAGACTTAGAATAATAACGCATAGAAACCTAGCCCGCACACGCTAAGTGAGGCAAGTTAGAGGGTTCCAAACGCGTCCCAGGAGCGCGCGGGCTGTTAGTGCTCAAGGTCATATTGCACCGCGAACAGCTCCAAAATTTTTTGCTAAAAATGACGAAATGTGCGGTAAATGGGTGTAAAAATACAACAGACAAACATAAAATAGACACTAACATCGCATTCCACAAGTAAGTAATGCGTTTCAACTCATATTTTTATGTAAATATTCACTAAAACAGAAAAATTATTTCGCGGCAACAAGATACGAAAGTGTTGCAAAGTAACGAATTTTTTTTCTCCCCATTTTGCTATTCTGTATCAAAATAATTATATTACGTAAATTTTAGTGGTGCCTGTAATTTAGATTTATTTGCGCATCTTGAACTAATATTTACTTTAATAAACAATAAATGTTTTCGTTAACTCCTGTAAGTGATTGGGACACTTAATTATTTTATAATACTTTTAACGGCTCTGCGTTCATGCTTTATTGAATAATTATTTATTTTAATTTTATTTGAATTGGAGCACATATTGCAACAAATTTACAGTACTTATATATTTGTTTCTACTATAGTGTTGGCACCACCAGTACAACTTTGATAGCTTATTATATGTCTTTCTTTTCGTAACTCAAGCGAAATATTTTATATTAAAATATTTTATTTTCTTAAAAGGGGAGCATTCTTAAGCGATTTTTTAATCTATTTTAACAGTTATTTTCTTTAATGTTTGCTTATGGCATTTTCGGTTTTAGGTTTCGAATATGGCACTTATTTCTAAATCCAAGATGCGGGCGCGATTTTTCGAATAATGGCAAGTTGGGTATCGTTTTCGAGATGTTTGGGAATGTTCAATACAAATATGGCACTCATTTCTAAATCCAAGATGGCAAACACGACAGTTCAAACAAAAGCATTATTCGTAATGAGCACCCCCAAATACCTCGAAAACGATACCCAACTTGCCATTATTTGAAAAATCGTGCCCGCCATCTTGGATTTACAAATAGTGCCATATTCACATTGAGCATCCCCAAATACCTCGAAAATGATACCCACATAGCATTTTTTTGAAAAAATCGTGCCCGCCATCTTGGATTTAGAAATGA